GTTCAAACCCACCCCGTCACTCAAGAGAAAGACGAGACTACCTGCACCATCGTGAAGATTTACGAAGCCTCAACCCCCAGAGAGGGTCTTTAAGAGTTGGAATTGGCTCTAAGGCAGTGTTTGTTTGTAGTTTATTTAGCATAAGTGGTCCACAGACTCACTGTTTCACCAGTGATATGGCGGGCCATGCTAACTAGTGCAAATTTGTGTGAAAGCACTGCTGTTGAACACTTTTTTGTCTATGAACCGTTCACCTCTGCCCCTTTTATCTCCCACTCTTCCCTGCTCTGCCTTCATTTCACCCTTGGCCTTCTTGCTGAGTCCTTGGATGGTACAAATGGTAAAAGTCCTTCAAAAGGCCCCGCCCAGCAGGAGCCCCATGGAGTTCTGCCCCGACATGGGGCTACCATGAGTCAGGCTCAAGCTGCTGGCAAGTGGCTTCTCACTCTTCTGCAAACCTGTCAGGTGTGCTCTGCCTTGGGATCCTTGCCCTTCCTCTGGTCTCCACTTGGCTCACATCCTCACTTCCACCAAGTCTTGTCTCCTTTCTCACCTCGGTGAGACCTATCCTGCGCAGCTCCTTTGGTTTCTTGTACCTCGCTCTGCTTTCCTCCTTTTACCTTAGCATGCCCCTATGCCGCGGACTTACTCACCATGGGACTGAGTCTCTGTCTTGTTCTGCCGTATGAGGGGGCCCCTCGAGGGTGAGGAGCTGGCTCTTCAGCGATGTCTGTATCAGGCCAGGAGTAACCCTTGGCAAGTGCTCGTGCTCCTGGAAGCATTCCTGTGTACTTGTACCACAGCTTTGAAACATTCTGCAGCATAACAAGCTTGCGTGTAGTGACCATTGGATTTTGTGGGTCGGGACAATAGATGGTTTTGAAAGAGGCCTGTAACTGTGGCTTGCACTTTTCAGATACGCAGGTTGATGTGGTTGGCCTCTGTCCAGAAGGACAGTTCCTCTTGGTTGGTGAGAGAAATGGCAACTTGCACCTCATTCACGTGACATCAAAGCAAACGTTACTCACGAATGTAAGGCTTTGTTTTCTTTCATTTCCATTCTCTGCGTCTTTTAAATAATCTCATAGACAGCGAAAAGTCTAGCATACCACTCCTGTTAAAAAGGATAGCGTGGACATTTTAAACGAAACCCCAGAAACATTCCTTAAATAATGCCGGAATGACAAAATTCTTAATGAGCTTGGGGAATAATTTGGCATATACTTATGAAATATTTTTTCCATTTTCAAACTCACATGCTCGATATTGAGGCAGAATTATGCTAATGGTAATAACCCTAGGTCTGAAAAAATTATAAACCTTGATTGTAATTTTTTGAGTTTGCTCTTACGCGTTGAAATCAATTTGCAACCAGGCCTTTGTCCGGAAGACTGATGATGACAATGAGTGTGCTTACCGGAGGCTCATTATTGAGAAAGATGGTGCCAGTGAAGGTAAGCTTTCTTGGACTTCTGTTTTCACTCAGAGTAATTTCTATTTCCGAACCAGAAAAAAAAACCCATCTACTCTTTTACTATCATACTCCTTCTATATATTATCATACTATGTATTATTATACTATGTGAACTATGTACTATTGTTAGGTACTATGTACAAAAAAAACCCCTGTGTACCCCAAACCAAATTCACTGTTATTACATTCGTTTTGAAGTCTCGGGTCCCATAGAACGGGTCGAACTGCCCCTTTGGATTTCTGAGGCTGTCAGTATTTAGAGCGGCAGAAAGCTTCATGTTATTTCTGCATATGCTACCCATAGACACTGAAATTTTCTGTTTTTACAAGGAATATTGTGGCATATAACAAGATTTTCATTTTAACTCTTATCAGAAGTTTAAGGAGCCCTAGCGGTGCATTAATAGGAGCCCTGGGGGTGTAACGGTTACACATTGGACTGCCACGTGCAAGGTCAGCGGTTTGAAACCACCAGCCAGTCCTCAGGAGAAAGGCGGGGCTTTCTACGCCCATAAAGAGTGATAGCCTTGGAAACTCACAGGACAGTTCTACACTGTCTATAGGGTCACTAAAAATCAGCATCTGTCTACTCGATGGCAGTGAGTTTGGTTTTTTGGAGCAGCGCGTTGAAGCCCTGGTGGCACAGTGAGTAACGGCAAGTTCAAACCCACCAGTGGATCAGAGAGAGAAAGAAGAGGCTAGCTGCTCTCATGAAGATTTATATTCTTAGAAACTCTAAGGAAAAGTTCCATCCTGTCCTGTAGTGTCACAACGAGTTGGAACTGATTCAGTGGCATTGGATTTGGCTTGGGGTGGTTCCAGAAAATAAATGTATAATATCACATGTAATATTTGAAACTAATTTCTACAGTTTTGAAAATTATGTAAATTACCAGGTAGGCATTACATAGTTTTTTTGTTTTTTTAAAATTATTTTATTGGGGGCTCGTACAATTCTTATCACAATCCATACATCCATCCATTGTGTCAAGCACATATGTACATTTGTTGCCCTCATCATTCTCAAAATATTTGCCTTCCACTTTAGTCCTTAATATCTCATTACCTAGTTTCAAAGGAGTTTTAGTATATTTTGATTTTAATAAATATTGATTCGAACCATCTTTTATTGTGCAAAGGATATCTAAGGTGGGTTTTTTGTGTGGGTGGGGTGTAAAGTTTTTTAATCAATTCCAAAGAAATTGAGATTATTTTTGACAAAGAACTTGCTATTTCCTTTGTAAAATTATCCCGTGATTAGAATTTCATTGAACAAATTGGCATATTTGAAGCTAGTTCAAGAAAACTGGTTTTAATTTTTTATCTATATTCCTTTTTTAGAGACTCTGATATTGATTTGATTTTAACAGGTACCTATTATATGCTGCTGCTTACCAAAACCGGATTTTTTTATATTACTAATCTTCAACTTGCAAAAATCCAGCAAGGTAAGCAATGCATAATTTTCTTATTACTGATTTGCAGCAATATTTCTTACTGTTTTTCCAGGTAAATCTTAAGATACTCTCTTTAGGAGTATTCTTTTAGCTTAAGTGTATTTTATGATCCAAGTGTACTTTTAATTACTTAGAGAATGCTGGCTCTCCACTGCTGGGAATATAATCGGATCTGAAGAAACGGAACTTGCCTGTAGTCATCAAGGGAGCGCTGGTAGCACAGTGGCTAAGCGCTGTCCTGTTCACTGAGCCCACCAGCTGCTCCACAGGAGAAAGATGAGGCAGTCTCCTGTGTAAAACTGGCAACCTTGAAAGTCTGATAGGGCGAGTCTACTTTGCCCTCTGGTGTTGCCAGGTGTTGCAACTAATTCAGCAGCAGTGGCATTGGGGTTAACCATCAGAAGGTGTTCCGCTCAGTGGGGGAAATGACATATAGCAGCATCGCAACCACTGGCTTTTGCTGGAATCAGTGAACCTGAAAATGGAAATGCAGTCTAAGTGCTATACACCATGTGTGGAGGGGCAAGTGGCTTGGATGGCGCTACGTTCCAGGAGTATGACCAAGATTCAGAGACATGCAAAACCAACAACAACCAGCCACTTGCAGTGCAGGCCACCCGGATTTCTGCACCCACAGGCATGTCATGCATGTGTGACCAGGACAGTGGCTGGTGATTTCTAGGAGGGAGACCCAGAGGTCTGTCTTCTGAGGCACCTGTGGGTGGACTGGACCTCCAACCTTTGGTTAGCGGCTGAGCATGGGCCACCATTGATACCACCCAGGAATTCTTTCAAGTTATGTCAAAAATAGACAAATAAGATAACACTTGTTGCCATTGAGTGGGTTCTGACTCATAGTGACCTTATCTAGGGAGTGTTTGGTGGGTTCAAACCACCACCCTTTTTGTTGCTGCTTGGGTTCCTTCTAAGCTGTATCAGTTTCCAGAATTCAGGTACTAAATTTTTTTACGACAGCTATTTTAGGGGTGGGGTGTTAAAAGGGAGACGATGTCAAGGAACCCAGGAAGAAATAGTGTGTTTGGAAACTGTTCATAGAAGTGATGGTAAATTCAGCTTGATGTGATTGAACAATGCCGTGACAGGACGTTTGTGTTAACGTCCAGTAATAATAAATAAAAAGAACAACAACAACCATGAAACAGATCCAGGAATGGGTTTGGGACTTACACTAAATCCTCGCTCCAACTTAAGAACAATTAGTTCTTACATTATGGCTCTGCTCGATATTCACCCCCAGGAAAGGAACAAGAGACGGATAGCAAAACGTGGTGAAAAAATTAGATGGTGCCCGGCTATTACCGTATGTGCTTGCGTATAAGCTGAGTTTCTCAGCACATTTTAGTGCAGTTTTTGTGGTAAAATTAGGTGTCTCAGCTGATATTCGGGTCGGCTTATACGCGAGTGTATACAGTAGATAGTATACCGTTTGGGGTCTTAGAGGCTTGTCTCCAAACAGCCATCTAAGTGAGATGTCAACTAGGTCCACAGGGAAGAAGTGCACCATCATCAGTCACTGAACGATTGTGAAGCATATCATCTGAAACTGAAGAAGAGATTGGTATCACAGCCTAACGTGTAAGAATCTGGTTTGCAGAAGGCTAGGGATGACAGTGGAAGCCCAAGATCCATTTGTGGAACTACATAGGAAAAGCCTTCGATGAACTCCCTCTATCCACAGTTGAGGGATAGAAGGAAAGTGGTCCCAAACAGAGTGCATTACAAAATTTAATAAAGATCAAAGACATCAATTTGACTTGAACAGTTAAAAGTTGGTCAGCAGATCCTCCCTATGATGCGTGCTGGACCTGATCTAGTTTCCAACATTTTCTGTATTTTTGGTTTGGTTTTTGTTTGTAATTAGTAGGGAGTTTCTCCAAGGAGTTAAGTCATTGGGGGTAACCCTCTTGAAGTTGTGTTACATGTTTTTCAGTTTATCGGTGTATGAAACCCAGGAGTGAAAAGCCTATAGAGATAGCAAGTTGAATAAGGGATTGGGGAGGAGGAGGTGATAGTGGTGGCGGCGAGGCAAAAGGGAGACAATGTCAAGGAGCCCAGGTAGAAAAGAAATACCCTATTTGAAAACCGATTGTGGTAGCAAATGTACAATTCTGCTGAATGTGATTAAACTTTGGAATGATGTGATATATGTATTAATTCCCAATTAAAAAGAAGAAAAGTTATTTTACTTGAAAACAAAGAACTGCTTTAAAACGAAGGGGTGAGTGCTGAAGACTGTACAGAGCAACATGTTGTAATTTTGGATATGAGTTGAGGAAGTTGGAGAACAATGATGGAAGGCTCTCTTAATGGGAGGAAATGTTCTGAGAGCCGGGACTGACAAGCACTTGGAACCTTTAGAAACAGTCACAGTTGGTATCCTTGGCCCAGAGCAAAGCTGATCAGTCAGCACTTGCCTCATTCAATTCCACCTAATGCTCTCTTCATTAGCTTGTATGTTTACCTTCTTGCAGCCAAAGAGCTGACTGGTATATACTTTATTGATGAATACACTAAATTAGCCTGCTTTTTTTTTCTTTCTTTAATACAGCGATTGAAAATGTAGACTTCAATACAGCAAAAAAGGTAAGAAAACAAAACCATGTGTTGCTCTCTTCAAACTCACTTTCAATGCAAATTGAAAAAAAATCCATATATCAATGGTCTGACTGTTGGCTCACATTTGGGGGATTGCCATAATGTAACACTTTTGTGACATTTCTGTTTAAAGCTAGATCTGGAACGGATGAACATAAAGTCATCTTTGTCATCTCAAGTGTTTGTATCCTATAACATTGTTGCTTTTTGAACTTTGCAGTTACAAGGACAAATCAAGCCCCGTTTCATATCCACTGAAAATTACCACACCCTCAGTTGCCTCAATCTTGTGGTTGGAGATGTAACAAGTGAAGTCCCTGTGATCATTGGGGTAATTCTCTTTATCCGGTTATTTTTTTCATTTTGTAGCCAGTGTATTTCTTCAGTCATCCAATACAGTTTGGGTTAAGTTACAAAGTAATTCAGAACATGTCACAAAATCAGAGGAACTCTAAGTCAACCTTAGTTTCTATTTTTTGGGGGGCGGGGGTAGGAGGAAGAAAGGAAACAAACCCACAACACAGTTAGCAGTTGCTGTGGCTTTGCTGGGGAGCCTTGGGGACACTGTGGCCTAGCCGTCTCCATGGAGAAAGATAAGGTCGTCTGCTTCCGGAAAGATTTCCAATCTCAGAACACTTCTTTAGGTTGGCTTACTGTAAGTTGGAATCAACTTGAAGCGGGTGGCTTTCTCAGCAATAGGAATTTCAAGCTTTAAAGTAAGAGTTTATTGCAGCTGCCTTAAAATATTTGTTATGCTCCTCACTAGCTTAAAATAATAGTATGTCGTCATAACGCCATTGGTACTACTAATTCCGCTGTGGCTTTGTTGTTCGTTTCTGTGGCCTTTCTTCAAAGAACTGGTAACTTTCAGATAGAGATTTGTTTGTCATTTTTCCCCATCCCCATGAATTATAAAACTAAGTCAGGTTAAGTTCTTCTAGGTTAGGGGATGAACCTGCCAACCATTCCCTTTTCCTTAAATTATTTTGCATTTTTGCTTGGCTAGTTTGATTAAACTACTCGCAGATATGTGTGTTAATGAAAGAGAACACTGGGCAAGGAGATAGAGAAGCACAATTCACTGTCAATGGAAAGGCAACTCGGAACATTTACTCTGTAATGTGCACGACGATGCTGCTGGCTGCCTTCCAGTTGAAGAGAACTTGTGTGACAGAGAAGAACTGCCCCATAGGGTTTGCTTTTGTTTTTTCAGATAGTTTTATCGACATCATTCGCATACCGTACAATTCAGTGGCTTATTAAAAAGTTGTGCAGTCATCACCACGATCAATTTTAGAATTTTTTTATTCTTGTCTCAGGCCTCCTTAGGCTGTAATTCTTCTTTTTAAAAAATCATTTTCTTGGGGGCTCTTACAGATAGAACAGTTCATAAATCAATTATATCAAGTAAACTTGTACATAGGTTGCATCGTCATTTTCAAAACTTTATCTTTCTACTTGAGCCCTTATTATCAGCTCCTGTTTTCTCCCTCCCTCCCCGACCCTCCCACCTTGTGAACCCTTGATAAATTATATGTTATTATTTTTTCATATCTTACACCTTCCACTGTATCCCTTCACCCACGTTTCTGTTGTTTGCCCCCCTGGGAGGGAGGTGTTTATACACTGATCATTTCTGTAAGTTCCCCCTTCCCTCAGACTGTAATTCTTATGGGAGCAGATCGTCAGAGCTGCTGCTGGTGGGTTTGAACCAGTGACCTCTTGGTTGGCAACTGAACATTAAATCTTGCTTCACCCAGACCCTGTAACATTCAGGATATATATATGAAAATAGCTTTTGACCAAATATATGTAATTTCTGATGCCTGTGTCATAATTTCTTTGAATTCGGAGGGGAGGGGATACCGAATATTATACTCAGTGCAGAACAGCAGGAATTTAATATCGTTAGAGCAAATACCACCTTTTTTCACCCCAATGAACATCTATCAAGAAGTATTTACATTCCCACATAGTAAATGTATCTTATTATTTCACTGGGCTTTCAAATAACTTATACTTAATACTTAGAAAATGATTTTGAAATACTTGTGATTGTATTAATGAACATATTTAACGAAGACTGCATTTAAAACATAGTCCCAGAAAAGGTCTTAGCGTCTACTGCTCATATCTTTTGGGTGAGTAGTGAAGATGCCTGTCATTAAGTAACTATGTTACGCCATTAGCCACCAGAGGAAACATAAATCATAATCACAGTGAGACACCATTATGCCACCACGGGGATGGCTTAGCGTGGAAAAGCAAACCAGAAAATAAGATGTTCGTGAGGCAATGGGAACCCCTATGCACGTCTGGTAAGGCCCCCTGGTGGCACAGCCCGGTAAGCGTTGGGCTGCTAACCTCAAGGTTGGTAGTTCCAGCCCACCATCCTCTGTGGGAGAGATGAGGCTGTCTGCTACCATAGCGGTTTACAAAGTTTGGGAGACCACTTGTACACCTGTAAAAGGTTGATATGGCAAAAGTTGTGTGAAAGATAGGATTATAAAGTTGTGTGGAAGAAAGATTATAACAGCGACAAAAATTTAAAAGAATAGCAGCCGAGGTGTAAAGATTTTGAGTCATGGTTTTTCAAGGGCCCCTCACTGTTGTCAAGTCGATTTCTATTCCGCGTGATCCTATAGGACAGAGGAGAACTGCTCTGAGGCTATAGGTCTCCAGAGGAGTAGGTAGCCTCATCTTTCTCTTGTGGAACGGCTGGTAGATTTAAACTGCTGACTTTGTAGTTGAGAAATCCAGCACTTAACCCACAATGCTACCGGAGCTGCTTTTCATGGGACATCCCACTTAAGGGGCATAATAATGCCTTTAGTGCATCTGTTCTTGAAAACCACCAATAGTTTAGCATCACAAGTTAATACTGTCTGCCGTGAGCATTGTTACACCCTTTTATGAACTCTGTGGGATCAAATTGGCAACAGCAACTTGGAAGGTTACATGGGAACCTTAGAAGGCAGTGAGTTTATATTACTGAGGAGAAACAGTTCAGAAAAGGGGGGGGGCGAAGAATGCATCAGTGTCATTAAAGTGTGCATTCAGGAATGGCGGAATTGGAGTATGTTTTGCTGTGTATATTCTCAATTACTACTAAATAAAAGAGAGCGGTCATGTTACAAACAATAACAACAGTTGGGTGTTCTTTCTGTTTTCTCTTGTAAACCATCTGAGGAACTACACTCTAAAAGCTGGTTGGACTCGAATACATAATTACCTTTCTCAGTCATCAACGTGTGCAACTGTGGTGTTTTTGTTTGGGGCAAGGTTCAGATCTAAGGCCCACGTTTACTAATGGTGTGTTCTATTCCAGGGGACTGGGAATTGTGCGCTCACAAGATGGGCACTTGATCCTTCCAAGAAAGAATTGGTTAAGAATCTTATTGATTCAGAGATTATTAAAGGTAAATTCATCTTTATTTTATGTAAGATTTGTTGGATTCTATGAGGGGGCTTTGAAAAGTTCAGGGGAAAATTCCACTAGCTTTCAATTCCATGTTTCCACAAATATTTCTTGAGATCTCCTTATAGATGACCAGGAGCCTTAGTGGCATATTGGTTACGGGTTTGACTGCTAACCGCAAGGTGAGCAATTCAAAACCAATAGCCACTCTGAGGGAAGGAGACAAGTTTGCTACTTCCGTTCAGTCTCAGAAACCCACAGGGGCAGTTCTACCCAGGCCTGTGGGGTGTCTAGAGTCAGATTTGACTCGATGCAGCGAGGATATATGGACCTTTTATGTAGAAGCCATTGCCAGGGTGTCAGCTCCAACTCTTAGCAACCCTCGATGACAGAGTAGGATTTCTAAGCCCATAAATTTGTACAGAAGCCTCTTGTCACATCTGTATCCCACAGAGCGGCTGGTGGGTTCTGACAGCTGACCTCTCACAGGAATGATTAACCGTCTCCCGCCAGAGCTCCCTAAGTAAGCAGAGAGATTGTTTTGATTTTTTTTATTACTTTTTCATACCACAGACATAACTTTATATAATGAAAATTTACTCAGGCTACTGGGATCATTACTAGGAGTCTGGCATTACAGAGGGAAACCAGTTTGTAGGAAACCAGAAATGGAAGAATGGAATTTCGCCATGACCTTTTTTTGCTATATCGTTCTCAAACTGCCAGATTAGAAGGACAATCAATTACCTACATAGGTGATCCGTCTTGAGATGTTACCATTGCTGCACTTTATTAGGAGAGATTTGACATTTTAGTAGGAGCCCTGGTGGCACAGTGGTTAAAGTAAGTAAAGTTGATTTACTTGAAGCCAACTGGAGTCAGTAGCTTAGAGTAATGATACTCAAAGTGCACTCCGTAGGTAGTGGGGCGGAGGACTGGGACAGTTTAGGAGGAACTCCCAAAGCAGGTACTTAGATTTTATTTTAGATTATGGGCTACAGTACAAAAATTTTTAATTTCCAGGGGGGTACTGGCTGATTGTTTTTTTTCCGCTTGAAAAGGGAGCAGTAGTCCAAATAAATTTGGGAACCTGGGATTTCGTGACTCCAGCCCCTCCGTAGGAGGAAGGTGTGGCAGTCTGTATCTGTTACCAGACAGCCTCGGAAGCCCTTTGCAGCAGTGTGGTCTGCCCTAAGGAGATCCACTCGATAACATTGGGTTGGGTATTAAAAAACAATCAATCAAAAGAAAATCACTCCCCTGGAGTAGAGGCCAACTCATAGTGACCCTGTAGGACAGGGTAGAACTGCCCTGTGTCCTTGTGAGTTTTTCGAGACAGGAGTAGAGAGCCCAGTCTTTCTTTGCAGTGGCTGGTGGTTTCAATCTGCTGACTTTGCAGATTACAGCCTACCCCTTAACCTCTGTGCCACCAGGGCTCCTAAAAAAGTAGAAGTAGAAATAAATAAGAATGTGGCCTTTCTTTTCAGGGTAGGACCTTTTTTGCGTGACTGTAGTTCTGCCTCTCTAGAAATGTCTCTTCGCACCCCGCTGTCGGACACTGAAATAGAATGCTTGCTTTCTCTTTCGTAGGCGCTAAGAAGCTCCAGCTCATCAACAACCTACTGTTCATTCTGGATACCCAGGTACGCGGTTGAAATGCCCTCCTTGAATGTTGTCACTTGGTAATCCTGTTTCCCAGTGAAAGCAGTGAAGTTTACAAAGATGAGGCCTTTGGGGGGGAATGTGGGTGGATGGTCATCATAAGGCACGGACGGGTTTTGCTTCGGTGTAGTTTGTAGCCATGAAAAAGCTCTGTGAATGAGATCCAGGGCTCTCTTGTAGAATGTGCTCAGCTTATGGGACATTCACTCTCTGACTCCGGTGTGGAACTGGCCCGCTCTCCATGTCGAAGACTTCCTCCTGACCACGGAAGCAGAGTCGCCCTCATCAGTCACGTGGTACGTACGCCACTACTCTAGTGGCCGTTTCTGATGCAATCAGGTTCCCAGTCTGGGTATGGCCCAGTGGTTCCTCATGTGTGGAGCCCTAACCCGACAGTCATGTCTTGGAATCTTTGAGAGTTTTGGCTGATGAACAGTCAAGCCATCGAGTTAGAAACAGAGGGTTGCCACCTGGGCCGTGAGTGGGCAGAAATGGAATCCAGTGTCTTTCTTGGAAATCGAATTGAACTTTCAGGCAAGAAAGTCACGTTGCCTCAGTTGAATCCTAGCAGTTGGCAAAACAGTTGATTTACCTGGAGCTTCTTCTCTGTCTCAGTCAAGGAATCACAAACCTCAAGCTCATCGCTCTGACGGCGACTGCCACGAAGCAGGTATTGGCAGAGTTTACGTGATGTGTGTTCTGTCGTGTCTTTGAGCGCAGCGTTAAGTATTTCAGACAGAGATTAAATGGTGGTCATGGCACCTTAACGCTTTGTTTACCAGGGTGTTTCACAAAGGAGAAATCATCCCTGAGACCTATTTTTCCTCCTTTAAAGATAAAAAATTTATAAATCTTGGCTCTGCACTAAAATATTTTTTAAAGATACTTACCATTTCAACCATTTGTAAGTGTATAATCCAATGACATTTCATGTATGGCGAAAACATGCAAGCCCCAAACTAAACCCACTGCCGTCTAGTTGGTTCTGATACATAGTGCCCCTACGAGGATAGGATTTAGCTGCCCTTTAGAGTTTTGAAGGTCTTAAATCTTTACAGAAGTGTGGACTGCCACACCGAACAGATGGTAAGTTCAAGTTGCCTACTTTGCAGTGAGGAGCCAAGTGCTTAGCTGCTGTGCTACCGGTGCTACTTGTGTAAACAGCAATACGATTTATTTCCAATTGTTAAAAATCACTGTTAAAGGATGAACTGAATCAACTTAATTGCAGTGAGTTTGGAGTTAAAAGAAACTCAGGACCCCTGAAGCGTGACTCCATCCCAGTTAGTCGCTCCCACCTGCCCTGTAAGCCACTAATACACTTGGATTGCTGTGCTCAGCTCCACATTTAGATGAGAGCATTTCCAGAATCCAAAATGTCCATCAAAAGGTGTTTATCAGAGCGTGTGTGATTCTGGGGCTGGAGAATTAACATTCATCTTAAATAGAAATTACACCATGGGCCTTTGGCTTAGTCTTTTCATACAACCAATTTTGGAACGTGAGATCGCATTCTCTTGTACGCAAACTTTAGGTCAGACAGTAACAGATTTTTGTTCTCAAATGAGTTCCTGTACTTTGTTTAGCCCCAAGGGAAAATCTATGCCGAGAGTGGAGTGCTGTTCAGTGGTGGAGGGTTTATGTGGACCTTTTCCCTTAACTACTGTCCTGTTTCTCTTAGATGAAAAATCTCACCGTTTATACATTACCTACGATGGAAGTACTGTATTCTCTAGAAGTGTCTAGTGTTTCTTCACTGGTCCAAACTGGAATTAGCGCAGTAAGTTTATGCATCCCTTAAAAACACATTATGATGGGAAAGCATTAATGAAGCACGAATGGAAATTAGTAGACGACCTGGACAAACTTCAGGTTCATTGCCATTTTTATTATTCGCAGAAAGTCCTTAAATACATGTGCCCAAGGTCAGTCTTCATATTAAACAAAGAGAAAGTAAAGGAGATTAATGATATGAAACCTCATTCCAGGGGCTTATTCAACTCCCTTGTGTCTCTACTGGAACTATAGATAGAAATTTCACGGGGAGGTCATTGCTTTATTTATGTTCCAACTCTGCTCTTTAGTTTAAAAAAGAAAAAAATGTTTTGCTCCATTTGCTTTCTCTCTTTTTATACATGCAGATATGTATATTTCTGGTCTCGTTAAGAATTACTTGCAGACATCATGACATGTCTCCCCAAACACTTTAGCAGATGCTGTTCAGAATGTTGTTGTTGTTGTGTGCTGTTGAGGTGAGTGAGCAGACCCACCCTGTAGGTTTCGCAAGCTGTCATCTTGACAGGTAGAGCCGCTGTGTGCTCTCGAACCGGCCAGCCTTTCATTTTGTGCTTACTTGCTGTGCCACCAGGGCTCTTTTCTTGAAGAATAGGACATTCTTTTTTTTTTTTATTGTTTTATTAGGGGCTCATACAACTGTTATCACAATCCATACATGCATCAGTTGTGTGAAGCACATTTGTACATTCATTGCCCTCATCATTCTCAAAACATTTCCTCTCCACTTAAGCCCCCGACATTAGGTCCTCATTTTGCCCCTCCCTCCCCACTCCTCCTTCCCTCATGAGCCCTTGATAATTTATAAATTATTATTTTGTCATATCTTGCCCTGTCCGACGTCTCCCTTCACCCACTTTTCTGTTGTCCGTCCCCCAGGGAGGAAGTCACATGTAGATCCTTATAACTGGTTCCCTCTTTCCAGCCCACTCTCCCTCTACCCTCCCAGTATCACCACTCACACCACTGGTCCTGAAGGGATCATCCGGCCTGGATTCCCTGTGTTTCCAGTTCCTATCTGTACCAGTGTACATCCTCTGGTCTAAGCCAGACTTGCAAGGTAGAATTCGGATCATGATAGTCGGGGCCGGGAGGAAGCATTTAGGAACTAGAGGAAAATTGTATTTTTCATCATTGCTACATTGCACCCTGACTGGCTCGTCTCCTCCCCGAGACCCCTCTGCAAGGGGATCTCCAGTGGCCTACAAATGGGCTTTGGGTCTCCACTGCGCACTCCCCCCATCATTCACTATGGTAAGAATTTGTGTTCTGATGATGCCTGAAACCTGATCCCTTCGACACCTCATGATCGCATAGGCTGGTGTGCTTCTTCCATGTGGGCTTTGTGAATAGAACATTCTTTGACAGCAGTTATGACACCAAAAAATTCCCATTTCTGTGTAGCAGTTATGAAACATACCATCCTTATTCTAACCATTGAATTAGGTGTCAATAAAACTGTTAATAAATAAATCAGTAAACCACCCATCATCAAACTTTCCCATTTCTGCCAATTAAATTGCTCCCCGATCGAATGAAGGACCATGTGGCATTTAGTTGTTTGCCTGCTGTGTCCCATCAACCCTGTAAGACGGAGTAAAACTGTCCCGTGGTGTTTCCTAGGTTGTCATTTTTTCCAGGGGCAGATCGCTAGATCTTGTACTCCGCCCCCACACCCACTGGTAGGTTCCACCTTTCACTTAACAGGGGAGCTTCCCCCCATTGAATCACCAGGGGTCTGAGAGTCACTGTGGTTTGCATTAACCTAGAGCAGTTAGGCTTGTGGGTGGGTGTCTGTGTACACGTTGTACTTTTGAAGTGTGTGAGCCATCTGCTTCAAGTGTCCTTCCAATTTAGACTTGTCCAGTTCTTTCATCCCGATTAGACTCATGATAAACTTTGCTGACTGCAGTACTGTGAGGTGCTGGCCATTGGGGTTGTTAGATCACATCACTTGGTTAAGGCAGGCCAGCCAGATTTCTCCATCACAAATGCATGTGTCACTTTTAATTAGTAGATAATCTCTACAGTAGTATTTGAGTCTAGGGAAATATTCTTTCCCTCAACAGGCTTTCCCTCAGTAGTTAGGATGCATTGACCATCCAGCCCTTCTTGCCTGGATACATTGTTACGTTAACAATGATCAACTTCAGTGCTTTTATGGTTCAATGTCAATTATGCTTTTGTCATTGTTGTAGGATACTATATACTTTCTGGAAGGAATTTGCACAAGTGATCCCAGGTCGGTCGTTAACACTTTTTTTTATTAATTAGGTGGTTACAGATCATTAATTTTACATTTAAGAATGCATATCCATTTTCTGTTACCTCATTCATTGCAATTTTCCTAATGTAATATTCCATTTCCTCCTTGTTTTCTGGTTCCATTTTTCCCACCTTCCTAACCCTCTTGAACTCTGTCCTCAAGCCAGTGCTGCCCCTTGGATGCCGAATGGTTGATTATTGCAAGGTGTGCATCCTGCACTGGTGTTATTATTACCCTGATAGACCTAGTCAAGTTTGATTTTACCAAATAAGGTGTTGAGCACCGACTATGTTAAAATGAACAGATTGCTATTGAATGACCAGTCCATTGACAGTGACACGTTTTTGTTGTGTGTTTTTTCAGATTGGCTGAAAATTCGGCCTCTGTCTTAGTACTTCGATGTCTTACAGAAGCTTTGCCAGAAAACAGGTAACGTCTGCATTTCTTCCAAGCCTTCCCCCTCAGCAAAAAGCCTCAGCTCCCTAATTCACAACTACGTCACTGAAATTTCTTTTCCACTTTTATCAGACTGAGCCGGTTGCTCCACAAACACAGATTTGCTGAAGCCGAGAACTTCGCCATTCAGTTTGGCCTAGATGTCGAGGTAATCGCCCCTTATGCCTCCCACCTCTGAGCAAACCCTGTGTTCTGTTTGGGAGACTGAGGAGGAAGACAGCTATGCAGACTCTCCTGTGTGTATACTTAGGTGATGGGGCCTGTGTGGACTCTAGGCTCACAGTATGTAGGCATATTGTTAACAACGTTTAGGAACGTGGCTATAACTGTGTTGTGTTTATACATAGGAATGAGAAGGAAAAACTCTGTGAAGGAGGAAAATTTGATGACAGGTCTTGAAGGAGTTGCAGGTAGTCGGGGGAGATGGAGAGAATTTTAGACCTAGGGACACCGTGAATAGGAAGCCCTCCCAGGGAGAAGCTAGGAGTACAGTGTTGGTTCTATGGCAAAGGAGCAGAAGGAGATGGTGTTGGAGAGGCAGGGGCAGGCCTTTAGTGCACCCCTGTGTGGCCAGGGCTACAAAGGGCACAATGAAAGGAGCAAGGCAAACAAGCACCATCTTGGTCACTAACTGGGTGCCGGAACAGCATGAATCCAGAGCCCCACACCTTGTCAGCCACTTCTCTTGCAGTTTCTGTCTGACTTTAACCCCCCAGAGTTAGAGCTAACTTCAGAGCCGCCTAGCCTAACCTGGCCTGGCCTTAACTCTTCACTTGGGGAGAAGTGGGCTGACCTGTCTTCTGCTCACTCAGGTGTAATTGTTTTAAAAGCTTGTTCCTAGACCACTGGGTAATGCATGGCTTGATGTAATAGTTTCCCTCACGTACCTTGCTCCATAAAACTAAGCAGTCATCCTCAGGTATTATGCTACTTGACTTGGCTCATTTCATCCACAGCTGGTTTACAAGGTAAAGTCCAACGATATTCTGGAGAAACTAGCCTTGAGTTCGGCGGGCCCAGGTGAGTGGACAGAATGGCAGACGCTTGTAGAGGAAGCCAAGGTAAACCTCCATAAAATCCAGGTACGTGTTTGGTAGGGTGCAGTCGGAGCTCCCAAGCTGGGAACAACCGTGGAGCACTTCCCCATGTCGATCCTCTGTCCAATAGGACGATGAATTTGTGGTGAATTACTGCCTGAAGGCCCAGTGGATCACCTACCAAACAACTCAGGAGATGCTGACTTATGCTAAAACCAGGGTGAGTGTGACTGTGCAAGTGTTAGCTTACCTTCTGCAAACGCAATCATTTGAAAAAGGATTTTTGTGTGTGTGTCATAGAACGTTTTTTTAGCATGTGTGTACAAATTATGTGTGCCCCAACCCCTAGGAGGCTGCAGTGCTCCAGCCCTTAGGACTGGCCCCCTTTGGTGCTATCTGATGGCTTTTGCTGATTCTAGTCCTTAAAATCAAGATTTGGGCAAGATGTAACAAACTTTTCATGAACTGCATTTTGTAAAACTTAATGATTTCTCTCTTCGCTAATTTAATTTCAAATTAAAGGACATTTCCTTTTTAATGGAAAATCTTCCTCCTGTTACAAAAAAGTACTCTAATTACGTTTTTATTGCTCACCTTAGCTTTTAAAGAAAGAAGATGGCTTCGCTGCCCATTCGGATGGCTTAAAAGAGGTAATTACAGTACATTTAGAAGTTGCTTTGGGGGATGAATGTACCTTCCCAAAGGAGCCCTGGTGGTGCCGAGGTTCAGCGCTTGGCTGTGGACTGGAAAGCTGGTGGTTTGAATCCATCACTTGCTCCAGAGGAGAAGCCTGGCTCAGTAAGGCTCCCAGCCTCTGCAGGCGCGCTTCCGTCCTGTCTCGGAGGTGCGGTGGCCTTTGTTTTTTAGTCAGCTTCCTGTTATTTGTTCCCATTCCTAATGAGTCCATATAGCATTTTTAAGAACAGGTTGCCATCTTATAACCAAAATTGACTCCCCCCAAAGACTCTTTTGCATGGTGCCTGCCACCTGTTTAGCTTCAAAGAAATGTGAACTCTGATGTTGATTTTGCTTGTGTCAGAAATACATGAGTGCGTGCGTGCGTGCGTGTGTGTAATGCTTGGTGTAGTCTTGCTAAGTTGTACCAGAAGGACACTTATAAGTCAGTGGAGTTGATCTTGGTTTTGAAAGATGCCTACTTCGAAGGTGCAAATTTTGCCTTCCTCTCTCTCTCTGTTGTATTGCCTTGAATGTGACTGGGATGCTTTCAGTCTTCCAAGTTTCTATGTTACATTTTGTGTCAAATAAAGACTGTTGTGTTTATGAGTCAAAAAGCAGATAGAGTGACATTTTCTGCAATACTTGTGGTTTTTCTCTGTCTTATTTTACCGTTACCGCCTGGAACGTTCAGATGGTAACGCTTTTGTTATGTTTTGTTAGGTACTCAAGGCTCATGCGAAATTGACTACATTTTATGGAGCATTTGGACCAGAAAAATTCAGGTTTAAGAGATGTGTTTTGCCTATTCAGTAATTAGATGATGAATTAAAGTTTGGAGTGACAGAAAAGAGAATTTCTTTCGATGAGTTTGTGTTGGGGAGAGAGGTGGCAGTGGGTGGGTGTTGAACGACACAAAGCATCGTCTTTTGCTCTAAATGACTGGCCCACTGTGCTAGTTGTCATTTGTATTGCACAAACCTGTTTGCCTTTGCTCATAGTTAAACTGCCTGGTACCGAGCACTGAACCACCATGCCTTCAGGGCTCCTTATCAGCCAGGGATAAATCCTATGAATTACAAGGGATAGTCCATTTTAGCGTTTCCTCTTTGGAACTGTTTTTTTACTTTGTAACTTTCTAAGGAAAAAAGACCTTCTTAAATGGCACCTTGATATTCCATGGAAGGCATAACCTTCATTTTAAGGAAACCAAAAAGCTGCTTTTTTCCTCTCTTAACCCTCACAGCGGTAGTTCTTGGATCGAATTTCTGAAAAACGAAGATGACCTTAAGGATATTTTTATACAGCTACGAGAAGGAAACCTTGTTTGCGCACAATACCTTTGGCTCAGACATCGGGTAATAAGTTCCGCTTATTCCTTCCTTAATGATTTCTTAGCTCCTGAAATAGATGAGAGACTCAAGTGGTGGGAGCCAGAGGTGGTGACAAATGTGACTGAGTAATGGGCTCGATTGAGATTGCTTGATGAAATATAACCTCTCCCGGAGAAAGTGCCTAATTTTAACTCTTCATTAACTTACCTCAAAAGGCAGCATTCTATCAAGTGAAATGCGGTTGGGTTTCTGATATGTTACAGGCCAGGAGGATTTTCCTGTTGCATCCTGGGTTGCGGTCCATGATTGCCCTCTAACATTGCTGACCTAAATTCCCCTAAAATGCCTGAGTTAGGCATATAGTTTTAGGCCCCAAAGTGGTATCTTGGTATGATGCCATTAATGGATGCAATGCTGGTTAGGATTTATACTAGCATCTCAATTAGACATCCTTAGGATGGCATTTCTGCCTGCCAGCCCCTGTGCTGTGTAATTTATTTTTCAAGGCACGCTGCCATGAGCTTATGGGAATGGTGGCTAATTATAGATTGTATCTGCTGTCTTGAGTCATGTGTATGGAGTAAATCAACTGTACCTCTCATTATGAAGTCCTAAGCTGTTTTTAAAATTACTTCGTAGTATACATCTTTCCCCTTTGAGCATTTATCATTTAGCTTGATTTTGTTGGTTAAATCTTATTTTTCTCACCCTATATAATTTAGGCCAACTTTGAAAGCAAGTTTTCTGTGAAAATGCTTGAGAACTTGCTCAACTCAATTTCTACTCCAGTGTCTCTGCAAAACCTTTGTCTGTGGTTTAAAAATGATATCATTCCATTTGTGCAAAAGACAGTACCGGAGGGGCAGGTGAGTTGCCTTGAGTATTTCCACTCTTTATATGATTTAATGTTATTTTTTAACATTAGCTTTTCGAAAATTAAGTCACATGAACATCAGTTAATTGTTTTTGTTTTGTTTTTTTAATTCCCTTAAGGGTCTACTTTTTGTAATTTGGGTGAAAGCCTACAGACAACATTGGTTGTCCATTCAACAGTTCATACACGCTTTGCTTTGTAACCCTGATTGCAGCAGCAGTCTCCCCACTTCCTCCTTGTCCAGATCGTCCCATTTGTCCTCTCCGACACCTACTTAGAGCCTGTTTCCCTTCAAAAAGAATATTCTGGAGCTTACCACTTTTTTTCCCCAGTGATTACTAAGTCTTCTACCTTCTTTTTTAGAAAATTCTTGCAAAATGGTTGGAGCAAGCATCCAGGAACCTAGAATTAACTGATAAGGTACCATCAGTATAATTTGCACTGAAAATCCAGCCCCCATAATCCCAGCAGTGTAAAGCATTGTTCTTAACGGCATCTCCTGTTTTCCAAAGGCAAACTGGCCGGAAAACGGACTTCAACTGGCAGAGGTGTTTTTTACAGCAGACAAGCCAGATGAGATGGGATTGGTGGCCTCCTGGCACTGGATTTCCTCGGTAGGATATGGAGAACGCATTCTTAGCAATGAAATGTTCCATTTGTGTTTGGACACAGAGGGAAAATTCTGGAAATAAATCTATTTCTTAATTTTTTTGCTTTTAGATTCCTTCTGTACTTCTGAAATCTATGAAAAGGAATTTTTTTTTCATTTCTGATAAATCTTCACAACTTCACTCTATTTTGCTACACTGTGTTTTCCTGTTGAGCAATCAAAAGTAGTAACTGGTATCTTTTGTGTTAGCAGTGTTCACAATGCCTCTAAAAGAATATGGTTTGACAGTGTGTTAAGAGAGTTTTTGGAGGCTATTAATCAGGTGTACTTTCTTTTTTTTTTATCATTTCATTGGGGGCTCTTAACAATCCATACATTCATTGTGTCAGGCACATTTCAGGCCTATTTTTTCAAAGTACTGTTTCATTGTGTGTCTTAGTGAAGGTTTCACATAGCAGTTTAGGTTCCCATTCAACAGTGTCATTCAGTGTTGTTGGTTACGTTCTTCATGCTGCCTGAGCATGCTCATTATTTCCATTCTGGTTGCTTCATTTCCATGAATCTAGTTTCCCTGCCCTCTTACCTTCTCTTCTTTGTTTTAAAGTCGTTGCTGACCATGTGATCTAATGTCCTAAACAACTCTAATACTTGCGTTGTAGAAGGATTATCAAAACACAGAGGAAGTATGCCAATTAAGAACTTTGGTAAGCAACTTGCAAGAGCTGATCACGTTACACAGGAAATACAACTGCAAACTGGCCCTGTCTGATTTTGAGAAGGTAAATGCCTAGATTCGTCGGAGCTGTTTTGACGACTGTTCAGTCGTGGCTCAAGCTTGCATTCACAGAGTCTGTCTTTTGGCTCCCAGGAAAACACAACCACCATTGTGTTCCGGATGTTTGATAAGGTCTTGGCCCCAGAGCTTATTCCTTCCACCTTAGAGAAGTTCATAAGGGTTTACATGAGCGAGCATGACCTGCAAGAGGAGGAACTTCTCCTACTGTACATAGAGGTACCTTTTCCTCCAGACAACACTCGGGTTCCTGGGGCTTGTGCATTGTGCCGTTGTGCTGAGCATGTGGGTTAATTTTAGTAATTGACTGGGGGCCTGGAGCAAGTCATTTAACCTTTGAAAGCTTGAAAGCCCCATCTATACTTTTTGTTGACATTATTAAGATGCCATAATCTGATCCATAGATGGCCCAAGAGTGATTTCTTTTTCACTGTTCTTGACTATACGAAGTTGAAGACTAACATTGTGGCAATTTTGCATTCTTTGGTCATTGTTCCATCTTCAAGACAATTAGAATTTTTTATGTTGTACATATCCATTAAGGCTATCTTATCTGCCTACTTGCCTATTTACCTGTCTGTGTGCATGTATGTGTGTGTGTTTTTTAGGTTAACATCAGAAATAAAATTTAAAATATGTTTATCCCTTTTTAAGGATTTAGTGGAGAGATGCAGCTCAAAGTCCACCTCACTCTTTGAAACAGCATGGGAAGCAAAAGCCATGGCAGTAATAGGATGCTTATCTGACACAGACGTGAGTAGATTGTGACCATTTGGGTTTCGTTTCTCTTTTGAGCTTGGAATCCTTTCTTAGTGCTGTAAGAAAGTTTTATTTTATGGTGATGGGCAATATGGACAGCAGAACTTCCACAAATCCAACAGTGTCTACACGTCCAGTTCCGTGGCATTGATTATATAGGGCAGCAATTCTCACCTTCTTTATCCTGGGTCTCCTCCCCCATCAACATAAAGGCTATGAAAGCTTTTCTCTAACCATTGGAGTGGCTGTTATCACATTGATCGCATATAGATAATTAGTTAAAGAGCCCTGTCTCCAAGGCAGCCATTCTTTACTAGTTAAGCTAAATTGTTCTTTGATTTTAAAAAAGACTCCAGGGGATGTGACTGGTTCCAGCTTTGCGGATTTCCTCAGGGCAGAAGTTCGTCCAGCTTCACGACTGGAAGCGTGGAGTCGATTAGGGTTTGAAATTCTGTTCCACATCTGTCCTCTTTTTGTCAAGACTCTCTGATGGAATCTCGTATCCGAGTGTTCAGTGACAGGTGTTGGGCATCAGCTCGTTCTTCTGGTCGCACAGCAAAGGAGGCCGTGCTTTATGGAGGCCATTGGCCACACATTCTGTGTTCTCCTCGTAACCCTTACTCCTCAGACGGAGGGAGCAATTGCTGTGTCTGGGTGGCCAGTTGCAATCTTTTAAGAACCCAGGCACCGCACCAGGAACGAGGAGATATAACAGAAATGCTATATTTTCCTAGGCCAATTCACTGGATGTCCCAGGACCCTATGACCCTAAACTTCCAAACCAAGGAACCAAATCCCATGAGCTATTTGGTCGTACATAAGCAACCTCAGCAGTTAAATTTGTCTGATAAAATTTGCTAACCACCCGTGGTCTTCTTTCTTTCTTTAGTTTTTCCCCATGGTCTTCTGTAATTGTCGAAGTGAAAAGTGGACTTTCTCCCATTCCTGCCTCAGAACTAACCTGGACAATTGGGTTCATGTCTTTCTAAGCTTTTTATGGTGGTTTAATCTTGGAGACATTTTAAAAATACATTGTAATAGACAATTATTTTGACTTCACACTGCTACACTGCTATTCATAATTTCATCATGAAATATGGATAAAAGCATGAGATATATTTTTAAATGCTTAGACTCTAGAAGATGGAAGAAAGTTACACAGCTGCACCTCTGAGCTTAGAGCAGTGAGCATCATATTGTATAATGTGCATGACATTGCTTTTTATGAGTGGAAATTGGAAGAAAGATGTATGCCTTTGCAGGTAGAAAATGAGATTCTCAAACAAAACCTCTGTGGTAGATAAGGTGCCATTCTTTTCTTGGGGGTGTAAAATTGGGGTCCTTTATTCATTGTCAATGTCTGTCTGCAGCTCATCTTTGATGCTGTCCTAAAGATAATGTATGCCGCGGTGGTCCCCTGGAGTGTGGCTGTAGAGCAGCTAGTGAAACAGCATTTAGAAATGGACCATCCCAAGTAAGATGAGAATCTACCACACAATTGGCGTGTGTTTGTGTGTGTGTGTGTGTGTGTGAGAGAGAGAGAGAGAGAGAGAGAAGTCATGTATTTGAGTTGGCAGCCCTTTATTGTGTTAATTCATTCGCTCGATTCCATAGCATGTCATAAGACCATTCATGTTAATATCAACACATTTTCTTTCAGAGTCAAGTTATTACAAGAAAGCTACAAACTAATGGAGATGAAGAAACTCTTGCGAGGCTATGGAATAAGGGAGCTGAACATCTTAAACAAGGACATCATGGTAAGTGTTACACTCGAAAGGCCTCTTCCCGATTCCGCCGACTTCCTGTGTCATCGTGAGAGATTTCATGAGGGTTTTACTTTCTAAAAGGTTAATAAAGCAAGTTCTTTCCAATGTTTCTTTGGTTGGGTAGTGTGTTAATAGGGCATTCAGTTGTCATTTCAGAGCAATGAGCACCAAAAATAATAAATTGAGCTCAAGGAGGAAGAACTCAGGATTGTCATTAAACTCAAGATACAAATCAGTATTCATTTTTCATACATTGGTTTCTTATTGCATCAGTTTGACTCTAGGGCTGCCTTTGCCCATGTGAGCCAATGATCCCCGGGTTCTCTGTGTGATTTCATCACTCAAGAAAATGTCTGTGTTGCTTCTCTTTCAGAGGGTAGTCAGGTACATTCTCAAACAGGATGTCCCCTCTTCTCTAGAGGATGCTCTGAAGGTGGCACAAGCATACATGTTGCCTGAGGACGAAATTTACAGTCTACGAATGATTGACCTGATTGACAGAGGACAGGTATGTGGATTTACATTGTTTTTTTCCCGTGTCTGGTTGATTCTTTAGAAGTACTTTGTGCATAGCTGATGGGTTTTCATGCGTTTTGGTCATGTACTCCTATATGTATGTGTATGTATACATATGTATATGTGTATTGTATGTCTCTGGCTCTAGCATAGGATGTGGCGTTGGTTTTTTTGTTTTGAAATTTTAAGTGTCTTCATATATGTGTGTGTGTGTGTATGTGTGTGTGTATCTATCTAAATATATATATATATATGCATACATATTAGGCAGGGCAGATACTTACAGAACAAAACATTTCCCAAGGCTACAGGTTTAACAGGCAGGTCGACCTTGGAAATGCTGTGGGTCTGGGTCCAGAGCACCACAATAAAACAAACATTGCAATAAAGCGAGTTCCACATGAGCTGTTTGGTATCCCAGTGCCAGTGAAAGTCATGTTGACACTAGGCTCTAGTCTACTAAGTGCATGATGAGAAAGTGTGAAATATGGTGAGAATGACCCAAACATGACAGACCACCAAGTGAGCACACGCTGTTGGAAACATAGTGCCGATAGGTTTGACGCAGGATTGCCGTAAACCTTTCACGGGTAGGACAGGCGATATTGACGAAGCACCATGGAATGAGATATGGCCTGTATATAATTCAGTGACATTAATTCTGGTACAAACGATCCATTCCAAATTAGTCCACCACCATTCAGACAGAAACTCACCGCTACCCTTAGCAATGATCCCCAAGCGCCTTTACTTTTAGGTTGATCTATGGCATAGCCAGAGGCGCACCTCAAGTTTAAGACACTTGAGTTCCAGGGACTGTCATTTACTTCCGTCAACACGTTTTCAGATTCTTGAAAACGTTGGCCCATCGTCTCATCTTCCCATTGATGGCCTTTCATGTTTAAATAGGAACGTGGCGGGTCTCAGTGGCCCTCTGCACGTACACTGTTGTTGCTTCCTGTCAATCACTGTGTCCAGGGTGAAGAGTGTCTGCTGGTGCTGAGGTCGCTGCCGCCTGCGAAAGCTGACCGAACTGCAGAGCGGGTGGTCATCTGGTCACGTCTGGCATTGCAGGAAGAACCAGATGGTTCCGAAGAGGTGAGCGTTTCATTCAGTAGTCAACATGTACCTCAAAAGCCAGTAAGTCCTCCCTTATCAACACAGCTAGGTCCCAGAGACCCTGTCGTTATGTGAAAATCAGTGTTGTGTAAAACCGTGGCACGTAAACAGGAGGTGAGAGCATGCAGCTGGAAAAAATGGTACTGTTCGACTTGTTCCACACAGGGTGGCCACACGCCTTCCATTTCTAAACAAAGCCAAAAGAAAACAAAGTGCAGTATCTGCGAAGTATGGTAAAGCAAAATGCAGTAAAACGAGGTCTGCCTTTATGACAAGACGTTTGTCATTGAAACCATCTTTGCACACCGTCCAGTGACTTGTTCACAGCCATCACACTGTGCAACCATCCTCACCACTGCCCTTTCCCAGATTCTCCCACTGCCCTTATGTTAATCCAGGTAGATCAGAGAAATAAATCCATGGAAACTCTTATGTGTATAAGAGAGTTTTATATAAAGAGTAATTGTATATTAAGAAAGCATCCCAAGTCCATATGTCCGATACCAATCTATTAAGTCCTCTTCAGACTCACAGAACACATGCAATGACGCCAAATGCAGGATGATCACAGGCCAGTGGGTGGAAAGTCTTTGGATCTGGTGGTGGTGTAAGCATCTCAGTGCTGGCAGGGGTCTCTATGTGGCTTCTCTGGCTTCAGAGGCTTGGTTGCATCAGGGTAGGTCCATGTGACTCCTCTAGCTCAGGGCACTAGCGTAAATTCCATGTGTCTTGTCAGCTGCAATGTCTCCCAGGGTGTTAGCAGAGTGAGAAATGTCTCCCTTGCCTCCAAGGAGGAAAATTCAGGAATTCCCAGAATCCTCAGGAGAAGGCCACGCCCACACAGAGGCCTCATTGGTTATGATCCGACTGACAGACTAGACTCCACCCTTTCTCTCTCAATCCTCTCAAGCCCCAAATCGATACCAGATTATGTAACTACCACAGCCCTTAACAGAAACGCCGCACCCCCTCAGCAATGACTCCCCTTTCCTCCTCCTGCTACTGGTAGCCACCAATAGATTTCCCTTCTCGATATAAGTGAAGTCTGACAGTGTGTGTAAGTGCGTTTGTGACTGAATGAAGTCACTCAGCACAGTGCTGTCCGGGCTCGCCCTGGTAGCAGTCATCAGCACCTCATTTCTCTCTGTGACCGTGACTCCAATGTGTGGGTGAAGCGCATTTTGCCTGCTCATCCATCTGCGGACAGACACTTGCATTGTTGTTTCAGCCCCTTGGCTATCATGACTAGGGTTGCAATGAGCTGTTGTACATGGTGTGTACTTTGTGTGGGCCAAACCTGTACTCAGCGTTTTGTCGATATTGCCTCTTAATGGAGGCCTTCGCTCCTTTGCCTTCTCTTCTCTCCTCTATTCAACAATCAGCTTTAGTAAAACGAAAATAACTGTTTATGTCATGAAGATCATGGTTATTTCGTAGACTTCCATTCTGTAGGTTAAACAAGTTCAGTTCTTAACGTTTTCAAAGAACTGTTACCACTCCTCTTTTTTTGCAAATACTGTCTAAGCTCTGGACAAAGAGCAACTTTCTGTTAGCTGAAAGATGATTTGGGATTTTTGTGTTTTCTATTTCTAAACCACATATCGAGATGCTGTACTTGTGTTGTAAGATTTAGCTTGCATTTGATTAAGAACCATTTCTCAAAACACAACAAAACAAAAAACGATTTCTCTGCTGCTCGGCTCACCACCAGGGGCTTCTCGTGTTTCAGCACTGGGCACGCATGGTTCCCGATTCCCTAGTTTTGGTGTGTTTACTGCCCTGTGAAATAGCCAGTAAGGGAAGTAGATTTCGTTTTGGGTTTTCCATCCTAGGACAAGGCCTGGAGAATGTGTGTAGCGAAGACCTCCGCGGATCTTCTTAAAGTGCTGTGCGACATTCGGAAAGGTAATTGCTCCCTCTGTTCCTTGATTTGTTCCTGCCTTTTGGAAGGAAACCCCACGGCAGCTCCCAACGGTCCCCACTGCTTTCCAGGCTCTGACTTCACAGAGGCTAGGACTGTGCCTTCAGGAGAAGCCCTCTTGGCCTCATTCTTGTGGTCACGACTGTAAGAACAGAAGCATCTCTTTCAACCTGACCTTTATTTATACGCTTTAACCAGATTTACAGGATACTTGGTGCCCCTTGCCCGTTTTCCTCACCTTTCAGTTGGTTATGACCAAGAATGAAGACCCATCGAGGCTTGAGCTAAAACCCAGGAGTCCAGTCTGACTCTGCTGGGTGAGGGGAGCAATCATGTGTTTCAGGGTGATTGCCAGTTCCCGTGAGCCCACACACTCCCGTTTCTGCCTTCAGAAAGAACAATGGCACCTTAGGTCTAGTTAACTAGGCAGCCTATTAAAGCTCTGCTAAGGTGGGCATTTGCATGTCAGCTCAAACTTAAACAAACAAACCATGTTACTTACAGACAATCTGCCGAAGAAGGATGAATGTGAAGAAGACTTGAGCCTGTTCAAAAGCGCTGCTAACTTGCAGGTAAAGCTGTTGAGCTGTATTCAGCTCTCGGCAGTCTCTGGCCCTTCTGGCGCTGGTAACACACGGAGTGGATTTCAGCCCCTCGAAACCCCAGATGACAGAGTAGAGCTGCCACCCCATAGGGTGTCCTGGGCTTTGTGTAATCTTCGAGAGCAGGATGCCAGTTCTTTCTCACACAACCTCTGGTTGGATTTGAGCTGCTCATCTTTCCGTTAACGGCCAAATGCTTGAGCATTGTGCCATTAGGCCTTCTAATACACCCCACACACACACCCGCACCCCTTTTATTTTGATTTGGGTCAAAGTTTACAGAGCAAATGGGTCTTTCAGCCCCTCGGCCATACACATTGGGTTCAGGGCATTGGTTGCAATCCCCACAATGTAACTCATCCTTCCTAATTCCTCTCTGGGTTTTCTGTTTCAACTTGTCCCTCTTCCCTGCCCCTTGCTGCCTTCTGAGCCTTTTCACTGGGCACATGCTGCCCTGTGGGCTTGTATGGTTGGTGATTCTACGGAGGGCTGCCCTCCCTGGGGGTCTTGTTCAGCTTGTAGGTCTGTTTGTCTACAATATTTCTTTTTTTGTTTGTTTCACTTTTCTTTTCTTTTGATGAATCATTTTATTGGGCGGGGCTCTTACAAATCTTATAACAATCTATCATTCAATTGTATTAAGCATACTTGTACATATGTTGCCATCAACATTTCCAAAACGTTTTCTCTCTAATTGAGCCCTTGGTATCAGCTCCTCTTTTCCCCCCACCCTCCCACCCTCGTGAGTCTTTGATCAATTATATATTATTATTATTATTTCATGTCTTACACTGTCTGTTGTCTCTCTTCATCCACATTTCTGTTATTCATCCCCCTGGGGGTGCAGGGTATATATCCAACCTTGTGATGGGTTCCCACTTTCCCCCTGCCGCCATGCAATATTTCTTAACTTTATGGCTTTATGTGTTTTAAAATTCACTTAAAATGTTTTTTAATTAAAAGATCATTTTATTGAGGGCTCTAACAACTTTTTGTTTTAATAATTTTATTGGGGGCTCGTACAACTCCTATCATAATCCATACATCCATTGGCTCTTACAACTCTTATTATAATCCATACATCAATTGTATCAAACATATTGTACTTATGTTGCCATCATTCTTTTCTAGACATTTACTTTCTATTGAGCCCTTGGTATCAGCTCCTCTTTTTTCCCTCACCCCCACTTGTAACCCCTTGATAGGTTATAAATTATTATTATTTTCATATCTCATACCGACCACTGTCTCCCCCCATGGTTTCTGTAGTTCTTCCCCCTTGAGGGGGGTATGTGGTTATGTGTCGATCATTGTGATCGGTTCCCTCTTTCTCCCCTCCACTCCCCTTCCCTCTACCCTTCTGAAATTCACTTTAACTCCAAGGTTTCCCAGGCTTGGGCTCAAGAGGGAATCATTCGTATAACAAAACTGATAAACGAGTTATCCTTAACATTCACATGTGAGGGACATCTTTTTTTGTGGCTTCTAATAGAGAAGGCGCTGTGAGCGAGCATGACTTCTCCACCAGCATACCGGTAGTCAATACCAGTCAAGAGTTCTTGTATTTGTTTCTGTGCGGTAGTGTTTCTACATGATGAACCTCTTTCATCAAAAGAGTATGCATATTTTTAGGTGGAATCACTTGCTTCGACCTCATACTATTTTACAGATGCGGACCTCCCTGCTACCTTTGAGTTGGTTCCGACTCATGGTGACCCCATAGGACAGGACAAAACTGCCCCTGTGTGTCTCTGAGGCTGTAAATCTTCACTAGAGGAGAAAGCCTCATGTTTCTCCCGTAGGGCACCCGACGGTTTCAAACCGCTGACCTTTCAGTTAGCACCTCTACTCGAGACCTCCACCAGGTCTCCCCCATAGATTATGCTTGTTCAGCTTATAAAGCTGTACTCATGAAGTCTGTGGAAGGGCCTGGAACAACGGGGAATTACACGATGCTAAGTAGAACAGGTCGTACACATGTATGAAATTGTGCATGCAGCCGTCAAATGCTGGTAAAAGTAAATAAAAATGAAATCTGAGAACATGGCCTCGGTGTGCCAAGTGACTTGATGCCATTAAATGCCCGATCGGGTGCAGCCCCAGGCCTAGCCCGCCCTTCCCTAAAAAAAACCATCTGGCCCCAACATCAGCAGCGGGGAAGGTGGGAAAACGTGGGTTAAAGTAGCTTTTTAAAAAGTTTCCAAGCTCTTTTCATTATAGTGACTCTCCTAAGTTGTACATTCAGGCCTGAGGCTCTTGCTTTTACCGGGGGTGGGGGTGGAGGTGTGTGATCTTGGATGGAGCTTACAGTAGGGAGAGCTTCTCAGTGATGGTACACATCGGCTCCGCAGAGGAGACCTGTAACTCTTGTCTTGCTGGCCATGGCTACAGGAGAACTTCGGGGCCTTCCTTCGATTCGAAGACTACAGCAGCCGCTCCCTGGTGGCTGATCTCCACGAGCAGCACATCCGAGCTCAGGAAGCCGCCCAGGCACGGCAGCAGCAACCGCAGCCGCTCAGGAGGCCCCCTGAGCCCACCGCGGCCGGGACGCAGAGCCGGCGCCCAGACTCGAAGCTGCACAGGCAGGCACTGGCACTGCAAGTGTCTGAACAAGAACTGGAGGCTGAGCTGACCCTGAGGGCCCTCAACAATGGCAAAGTCCAGACCGCGCTAAAGAAATGCAGGTTGGTGTCTCAGGTTGTCCCTGAGCGGCACAGCTCACATTCCATGGGCGTGCTTCCTTCCTGCCTTCAACGGAGGCTTTCATTGCCACTGAAATGACTGTCGGTTTCTTGTCCTCCGAGCCCGTTTCCAGCGTCTGCGCACAAAAGTAGCCAAAGAGAAGGCATGTCCCAGATAGGGCAGAGGCATTGTTGTCTTGGCACAGTCCTAACAGAAACATCGCTGGCAGGCGCCTTTGAAGAGCAGATATGTATTTGCTCACAGTTCTGGGGGCTAGAAGTGTAAATCACGGTCTAAGTCCTGTCGGCTCCTCCACACTTCTCTCCTAGTTCTGGTGTCCTCCGTGGACCCTTAGTGTCCCTTTCCTTATGGCTGGGTCCTCACAGGATGTCCATGTCCGTGTGTGTGTGTGCGCGCGCGCGCGCCTGTCTCTCTGCATCATCTGTTCTGTTTATTTCAATAGGACCGCCCTCTGAAGGGTCTGGGTTTAGAACCCACCTGTCTTTAGGATGCTCTTGATTACAAAAGAAAATGCCTATTTCCCAGCAGGATCATAGTGAGGGGCACCAGGGCCAGGGCTGCAGCCACGTTTTCAGGCAGACAAGTGAGTCAGGACGGTGATGCTTGAATTTTCATCCCTGCGTCCTTTGACACTGCGTAGTACTACATGTCTCCATAAGAAGTCCGTGGTCTGTGCCATGGCGGGCAGCATCTTACAGACATTTCATGGGATGATGGTGATGAAAGCTACATGGTAATCCAAAACAGACAACTGTGTTTGCCTCTACTCACTACAAGGAGCTTGTGTTAGTCTGACGAGAGAAACAAATCCAGGGACACTCGTGTGTATAACAGAGCGATTTATATCAAAGAGTAAATGTTTGTTAAGAAAACATCCCAGATCAAGTCCATAAGCCCAATATTAGCCCATATGTCCGATACCAGTTTATAAATTCTTCTTGAGACTCATGCAATACATGCAATGAGGCAGACTGCAGGAAGATCACAGGCCAGTGGGTAGAAAGTCTTGTGGATGCAGTGGCGATAGAAGCATCTCAGGGCTGGCGTGGGTCTCCATGTGGCTTCTCTAGCTCTAGGGCTCTGGTTCTATCAGGGGTCTCCATGTGGCTTCTCAGAAGGAAGACAACCAGAGAGTGTCTCTGTGTCTCCTGCCTCCATAGTGAGCTATTTATCTCTACGGCGCCTCCAAATGAGGTCATCAAGCTGCAACCTGATTGACAGGCTAGACTCCACCCCTTCGCAAGTTGACAGGCGATTATGTAACTGCCACAGAGCCCTAGTAGCCTAGTGGGTTGTATGCTGGGCAGTTTGAGGCCACCAGCTGCTCCACAGGAAGAAGCTCAGCAGTTCTCTGCTCCCAGACTTACAACCTCAGAAACACACAGGGGCAGTTCTACCCTGTCCTCCAGGGACGCCATGATTTGGAATGGACTCAATGACAATTAGTTATTTTAGTTTATCCTGCTAATACCTGCTTCCTCCACAGAGATGCCTTTACGTATCACTGTAACACCAGCTCTGGGAAGTTGCTCTTTTTGACTGTTCAGAAGCTTTGTCATATGTTGGCGAACGACGTCCCAATGGTGGTCCCCGAGGGAATGAATCTTCCTTCAGAGATCCACATGTTAGCCTGCCAGGCCGCCACCATCTGCAGCCCAGGTGACCAGCTTTTTCCTGCCGAGTTTTAAATTGTGCATTTCATCCCTGCCTCTGTGCAACTGAACAGGTAACGACAGAGCAGGCCATCAGTCAGGCCTCCGAATCTGCAGGTTCCACGAGTGGGAGTGTTTGGGGGGCGGGGGTAGGGTGAGAACATGGCCTCTAAAAAGACACTCGGTGGTCGTGGCAGTCCGACAGAGGCTAGGAGGGCATTTCCTTTGTATTAGGGATTCTGAGTCATCGAGAGGTGATTAAAATAGAAGGGAGGACGTGCACAGGTTATGTAAATTCTATACCTTTTCATATCAAGGACTTGAGTGTCCGTGGATTTCGACACCGGAGGGTGTCCTGGCACCATTCTCCCACTCCAAATACTGAGGGCCACCTGTCACTCCCCTTTCCAAAAGAAACTTATAACTGATGCTCTTTGGGGAAATGATCTTTTTTTTTTTAGTTAGAAATTAATTAAAAAAATTTTTTTTTCTTCTTTTTTAAAAAATCATTTTATTGGGGGTTCATACAACTCTTATCACAATCCATACATACATCAATAATGTAAAGCACATTTGTACATTTGTTGCCCTCATCATTCTCAAAATATTTGCTCTCCACTTAAGCCCCTGGCATCAGCTCCTCATTTTTTCTCTTCCCTCCCTGTTCCCCCCTCCCTCCCCGCTCCCCTGCATCATGAACCCTTGATAATTTATAAATTATTATTTTGTCATATCTTACACTGTCCGTCGTCTCCCTTCACCCACTTTTCTGTTGTCCGTCCCCCAGAGAGGAGGTTATATGTAGATCCCTGTTTCCACCCCACCTTCCCTCCACCCTCCTGGTATCGCCACTCTCACCACTGGTCCTGAAGGGCTCATCTGTCCTGGATTCCCTGTGTTTCCAGTTCCTGTCTGTACCAGTGTACATGGGGAAATGATCTTGTCCTTGCTGGCTGTAACTGTTTTTCGGTTCATGCTGTTGTTGTTCTTAAGTGCCCTCGAATTGGCTCTGACGCATGGTGACCCCACGTACAATAGAAGGAGGCACCACCCGGCCCTGTGCCATCTTCATAAGGTGATGCCCGAGCTCGTGGCTGCAGCCAGTGTGTCAGCCCATCTGTAGCGGGTCTCCCTCCTGTTTGCTGACCCTCTCCTTTACCCAGCGGGACGTCCTTTCCCAGGGCCTCATTCTTCATCGCCTTGTGACTTCCCTTGCTTCCTCAGGTCTGAATTGCCTCTCACGCTAAGCTGAAGGCAATGACTGAACGGCAGTCAGAGGTGTTGAGAAACCTTTCTGTCTACCTTTTGACTTTTCTTAGGATCTGAAATAGGAAAGTTTGTGAGGGCTGTTTGCCTGATGGATATTAGCATATATGTGATATTGGCATGATGCATTTTTTTTTTCTTTTTTAGATTTTTTACTGGATGCTTTGGAACTTTGTAAATATACTCTAACAGCTGTAGAACTTTCCAGGCAGTGCCAAATGGATGACTGTGGAATCCTTACAAAAGTAAGCCGCTCTGGGGTTTCTTTTCCTCCACCCCATTATGCACCAATTAAAAATTACTGGCAAAATCTTGGGAGACCCTGACGCTGCTGCTTGAGTCATTTCTGACTCCAGACTAGAAAAGGGATGATGACCAAGAGGCACTCTCTCGTGCAGCCTTGAGCCTGCGGCAAGGGCTCCCTGCCCCTGACCTGTAACCTGGTTGTTAGTTGTGGAGGGCACCCCTTCCAACTCCTCACAGCCCCGCATACAAGAGAAGGAAACCGCACCCACCCCGCACGCTTCTCCCCATCGTGGTTCTGCTTGGACCCATGGTTGCACTCACTGCGCCAGTCGACTTCCTAGACGGTAATCATGTAACTCAGGGGCTGTGATGATCTTGAAACCAGCGAGACATAAAATACCCAACCAGTTGCCCTCAGCTTGCAACCCAAGTTCTTTTACTTCATGGAGTTAGAAAAATCCCCTTAGAAAATGCAATTAGTCACGAGGGAGGGAGGGGAAAGAAGCGGAGCTGGTACCAAGGGCTCAAGTAGAAAGAAATTGTTTGGGAAATGTTGACAGCAACATGTGTCCAAATGTGCTTCATACCATTGAGTGATGGATTGTTATAAGATTTGTAAGAGGGCCCCCCGCTAATAAAATGATTGATTTTTTTAAACATGCAGTTAGCCTGAGGCATTTTACCAAATGTGGTCTCTACGGCATTGTTATCACTCACTGCATTGCTCAAAAGCACACAGGTTGCAGGCAGTTGTCACCTACAAGGCCAGATCAGATAATGCCGAGAGCATTCTCCTAGTTACCTGTTGTTAGTGAGAAAAAGTGAGGCCCTGCTATCTAGTCCGTCAACAAAGACATCCTGAGACTGGCCTGAGACTTGACGAACTTTAGTGTTCTGTTGGCTTGTTCGTGGTCAACAGTTATATCCCAAGGTCACCTTGAAACCTGAGTGAGTGTAAAACATCTAGACATGTCTCCCCAAAGTGTAAATTCCAAAGCCAAAGATAGATATTCTCCAAATTCTCCGTGATTTCAAAGCGGACAGAACAATGACAGTCTGTTTCGCACTAGTGTGGCCTCCTCACTGGTATACCTTCTAAATGAAAACATCCTTTCTTCCTTTGACCCGGAGTGAGGAAGTTGGTCGTAATGTTCCACAGTCACACACCTGCGTTTCAGGTGACAGGCTCAACTCCAGTTCCATAGGACAGATTGGAACTATAAGCTTCAACGAAGCTGACTGCCACATTTTACCCCCCTGGAGCAACTAACTGGTAGATTCGAAACACCAACCTTTCAGTTAGTAACCCAGCACTAACCACTGCGCCACTAGGGTAAGGTGACCAGACGTCTCGCTTTTGGCGGGATAGTCCCGATTTTGAACAATTTGTCCCGCGTCCCGCGGCGTTTTAAAAAAGTCCCGATTTTTGGAAGGAATGCATGACAAGCTGGGGTATATGGTTTTCGGCTGCCATGTGGCTATTTCGCCAGGATATGAGTTTCATCAATGGTGTCCTGCTTTACCAATGTTAAAATCTGGTCACTTTACACTAGGGCTCTGTAGGAAAGCAACTCCATGGTTGTATTTGGCTATCCACACTGCATTCGGCATGGATCCATCGGACTCCTGTTCAGCTTGGAGAAGGTGGACCCCGGTTGGTGCTGTCTTTACCGCTGTCTTTCCTGTCTGCTTTGGTATTTAGGCTTCTTTTGGAACACACAAAGATCCTTACGAAGAGTGGTCTTACAGCGACTTTTTCAGCGAAGATGGAATTGTCCTCGAGCAGCAGATGGTGCTACCTGTCATTTATGAACTGATTTCCTCCCTTGTGCCCCTGACTGGTCAGTGCCCTTTGGGTTACCATTTTGTATGTCTATCTGTAGTATGGACATTTGAAATGTCAAATCTGGGAGCTAGAACTGCACTTAAGACATGGATGAGCCTAACAGGCCTAATGTTGACCAAAAGAACCTGGACACAAAAGAATGAGCACTAGCTAATGCCATTTACATAAAGTTCAAAAACAGCCTATAGTCTGCCATACTGGTAGAAAGCTGGGTCTGGTGACTCTTGGGGGTAGGTCATAGGTAAGGACCAGAGGAGGCCTCGGGGGCTTCTGGGACTCTGGATAGACTCTCTCTCTTTAACTAGATGCTGCTACATGGATACATTTGGCTTGTGAAAATCTCCCGTGCTCTGATTTTTTGTGAATCGATTTTTTCTTGCTGGAATCCCTGGGTGCTGCAAATGGTTAATGCCCTCAGCTGAAAATAGCATTTTTACTTTTTTACTTTTTAAGTAGCTGTTTGTATTAGACCATTATTTGATAATAGCACAATATTTCAAAGTGGTTGAAAGCTGGGGAGTCCATTGTAACTCTTGGCGACCCAATGTACAACCAAATAAAACACGGCCTTATCCGGCATCATCCTCACAATGCATGCTACTTAGGAGCCTACTGTTGCCGCCACTGTGTCAGTATTTCTCTAGCTTTGCCGATAGGGCCTTTCTAAGAGGCATTTTACTTGATTTTCTCTCATAGAAAGTAAACGACATCCCTTGGATTCTGCCAGTTTGCCATACTGCTCGTCAAATCAAGGTAGGCAACTTGAGACCTGGAGGACACAGTGTTCAGATCCTGTAAACACAGACATTCCCAGGAATCCCACTGACCAACCCTGACTTAACGTCCCTACTGTAATAGTCCAGGCCTTGTCATTACCTCCATACCGCAGTGGTTCTCAACCTTCCTAATGCTGCGACCCTTCAGTTCAGTCCCTCGTATGGTGACCCCCCACTCCCCAACCATAAAATTATTTTTGTGGCTACTTCATCACGGTCATTTTGCTACTGTGATGAATTGGGCGGCCCCTGTGAAAGGGTTGTTCGACCCCCAAAGGGGCCGCAACCCCCATGTTGAGAACTGCTGCTCCAGAGGGTCAGAGGATTGGACTACTTGGCCTATGGTGTTACTTACTCTTCCGTGATCCTGTGCCTGAGTTGTGGCTGTTCTAATGGAGCAGTGGCTTTCATCCCTGGAAGCCAGGGAGTCCCTTGTTGGTACAAATAGTTAGGTTCTCAACTGCTACCCAGAATTTGGCAGTTCAAACCAACTCCGAGGCCCCCTGCTTCCATAAGATCACAGGCCTGGAGCAGCCCTCGTCTGCACTCAGGGGTTCAGGGCCAACTCCAGGCCAGTGTAGACCCAATTCAAATGGGAGCCAGCACTGAAAATATCTCATTACCTAGTGGTCTTATTTTGTGACCTGTTTGTTAACCTTATCTTGTGAATTGGGTGAAGATTTACAGAGTGGTCGCTCACTTTGACATTCACCAATTCATGCACATTTTGTGACATCTCTTTAATTGTCCCCACAATGTACCGTCACCGATCCCTCTTGTTCTCTGTGCTTCCTCTCTCTGTACCTCCTCCACACCTTACCTTTCTGGGTTTTGCCCTTGGGTAAATACTGTTGCCCCTTTGAGCCCTGGTGGAGCAGTCTAAGGAGTGTGTGCCTCCCTGGCTCTATTGTTCCCCATATAAAACAAAACCACACTCACTGCCATCTAGTGGATTCAGACTCACAGCAACCTACTCTAGTACTGAGTAGAACGGCCCCTGTTGGTTTCTGAGACTGTAAGTCTTCTCAGGAGTAGAAAGCATCTTCATTCTCCTGCAGAGCAAGCGGCTGGTGGTTTTGAACTGCTGTCCTTGCAGTTAGCAGCCCAACAGGTAGCCAGCCCGCTTTGCCACCAGGGCTCCTGTTGTTCCCCTACAGACCTTCTATTTTGTGGTTCAAATGAAGCCTTACATCATCTCTGCCATCAGCTCTCTTTTCAACAATTACCTGCACTGAAGTACCCCATCCCCGAGAACATGTCCCAGCAGTATCATCTTCCTTTGTTTAAACAGAAAACTCTCAATATTAAAGTACTTTTACTCAGGATACATTTATCCCCACACAGGAGACTGCCTAGTGTTGCCAGTTATCAGCTCCATCTCCGCCCTGCTTCAGAACCTTCAGGAATCCAGCCAGTGGGAGCTGGCGCTCCGATTCGTCACCAGTTCGTTTGGCACCTGCCTTCAGCACATGATGTCCAACTTCATGAATGACAGCTTGAGTGAAAAGGTATCGTTATGGGAACCAATACTTCGGCTCTCTGGGGAAAGACAATAATGAAACAACTGTCACCTAAGGAATCTAGAGTCCAACTTTCAACCATTTATCAGGTTGGACGACAAATATGTGCTTGCCCACATTTCTGCTCTCACATCTGTACACCACCCGAGCTCTCTGACGTGGGAAGGCGGAGACGTCAGGGAGGTCAACTAACTGACTGAAGGTTTCGGGCCATCCGTTTGGAGCTGCAGTCTCAGCCCCGCTCTGGGCCCTCCAGCACAGCGCAGTGTCCAGTAGGCCTCGTGAGGTCGAGTAGATGTGTTTGCTGTTGTTGTTGTCACCCAAGGACTATCATTTTCTTTGTTGACAGCCTTATTTCCTCGAGACGTCAGTACAAATAAGGCCCCTGGAGTCGTCGTAAGACCAGACAGGAGTTGAGGGGACACGCCTGCCTGGAGCACTGTCTCCGTCATAAGGGCAGCAGTAGCTGGACCATGAGAGAGACTCCTTAGGGGCAGTCAGTTTATGCTAATGAGGGGGAACAAAGTGAGGCCGGGTGAAATTGTTTGCACAGCTCAAAGAACGTAGTTGCCCCTGAATGGTACGTGCAGAAATGATTGAATTGAGAGATGTTGTGCTGTGGATAGTCTCAGCAGTAGCAAAAATAAATTACAAACAGAAAGAGGCATAACTTCCCAACAAGAGGTGACCACACTTTATGGGTACCCATCAGGGTCCCCAGCTTCTCACCATCACACTCAAGTCATTGAGAAGAGCTCCTTTGGGCTCCCTCCGGTCAACTTCTCCCAGGTTCTTTCACGAGAGACATCATGTCGGCCCTTTTTTCCCATAGCGTGCCCCTCGAAAGTCCCTTCATATTGCTGAGACGTTTGCAGATGGACACAGAAGAGTGGGCCTACATGAAGATTTCTTAACGTGTTTCTCTTTCCTCCCCAAAGATGTTTGGAGAAGCCACGTTGGTTAAATCAAGGAGCATTGTTCTGGAACTGAAAGAAAGGGCCGTTAAATTCATCAGGGGGAATGCTGTAACACTCTTAAACAAAGTGAGTATTTGTTCCTTGTGAACTTTCTCTGCCTTCTTCCCCGAGCTTTGCATCCGGATCCAGTCCAGGGCTGCGTGCCTGTTCAGACGCTTCGAGAGCGTGTTGTTGTTAAGTGCTGTCGAGTCGGCCCACGTGAGCCACAGAAAGAACCACTGCTCAGACCTGGGCCATCCTCACGGTTGTTGTCACGTGTGCGCCACGGTTGCAGCCTTTGTCATTCCGTCTTGTGGAGGGCCTTCCTTCCATTCCCTGCCTCTGCTTTACCAAGCATGATGCCCTTTTCCAGGGACTGCTCTCTGCTGACATCATGCCCAAGAGCATGCACGGCAGCTCAGCATTGTTGTTCGTGGGCGTTCCTTAGGGTGGGTACCATCCTTTTGGGTGGCTTGTAAAATGTATCAATGCTGCTTAAGAGGGTTTTTGAGGCTATACATCTTTACAGGAGCAGACAGTCTCATCTTTTCCCTGAGGAGTGACTGGGGGGTTTGCACTGCAGACCTTGCAGTTAGCAACCCAACGCCTAGCCCACAGCACCACCAGGGCTCCTTACACGAGGCCTTAGCCTTTTATTATTAACTAGCATCTGTTGAGGAGTGAATGTGGGCTATGCTTGACCTACTATCCACCAGGTAACAGTTGGAACTCACCATCCATTCTGCAGGATAAAGATAAGGCTGCTTACTCACGTAAAGAGTTACAGTCATGGAAACCCACAGGGGCAGTCTGGCTCTGTCCTGTAGGGTCTCTGAGTCAGAGTGGACTGGAGGGCTGTGAGAGTATCTACTGAGCACCTCCTGTGCACAGACCTGCTGAACGCTTGGGGGTCAAAGCGCCATTTAATCTCCCCAGCGACCGTTTGATGGGAACCGTTCTTGTAGCCCTGTTTTACACAAGCTTTCCAACAGTTCAAATGCTGACTCCCCACCCAGCAGCCATATAACCATCAGGCAGCTGATCTCACTTCTCGGGGTCTCCCTTCTCTCTTGTGTACAGTGATGATGATGTTGATGAGCATTATTGTCACTTGATAAAACTTATAATGCCAGGCTTTATTTTATTTTCATTTAAAACACTTTATTGAGGTATCACACAATTCTTATCACAATCCATACATACATCCATTGTGTCAAGCACATATGTACATTTGTTGCCATCATCATCCTCAAAACATTTGCCTTCCACTTGAGCCCTTAATATCGGCTCCTCATTTTTCTCCTCCCTCCCCCCTTCCACTCCCTCATGAACCCTTCATAATTCATAAATTATTATTATTTTGTCATATGTTACACTGTCCGACATCTCCCCCTGCCTTCTTCTCTACTGTCCATCCCCCAGGGAGGGGCTATATGTAGATTCTTGTAGTTGGTTCCCCCATTCCACCCCACATTCCCTCTACCCTCCAGGCATCACCACCCTCACCACTGGTCCTGAAGGAGTCATCTGTGCTGGATTCCCTGTGTTTCCAGTTGCTATCTGTACCAATGTACAGCCTCTGGTCTAGCCAGATATGTAAGATAGAATTGGAATCATGATAGTTGGGTGGGGGGCGGGGGGAGGAAGCATTTAAGAACTAGAGGAAAGTTATATGTTTCATTGTTGCTGCCTTGCACCCTGACTGGCTCATCTCCTCCCCACAGCCCTTCAGTAAGGGGGTGTCCAGTTGTCTACCCATGGTCTTTGAGTCTCCACTCTGCACTCACCCTCTTTTACAATATGATTTTTTGTTCTTTGATACTTGATACTTGATCCCTTCGATAGCTCGTGGTCACACAGGCTGGCATGCTTCTTCCATGTGGGCTTTGTTGTTCTGAGCTAGATGCCCACTTGTTTACCATCAAGCCTTTCAGACCCCAGTAGCTATATCTTTTGATAGCCGGGCACCAGCAGCTTTCTTCACCACATTTGCTTATGCACACATTTGTCTTCAGCGATCGTGTCAGGAAGGTGTGCATCCTGGAATGCCAATTTAATAGAACAGTGTGTTCTTGCATTGAGTAAGTGCTTGAGTGGAGGACCAGGCTTTATTTTAAGGGCGTGATATTCATAAATTCATTTCAGCAACTCCAAGAAGTGGTTCCTTTGTTTGGTACAGGAGCACACTGTGGCACCTAACCAAACCACAAAACCCACTGCCATCGAAGTGGATACCGGCTCACTGCAACTCTCTAGGACGGGTGGAATGCCGCTGTGGGTTCCCGAGACTGTAAACGTACTAGAGGGCCCTCAGAGGGATGGATTGACATAGTGGCAGCAATGGGCTTAAACACAGGCATGATTGTGAGGTGAGGATGATGCAGGGCCAGGCAGTATTTCCTTCTGTTATTTGTGAGGTTAGCAAGAGTCAGAACCAGCTCAGAGGCCTCCTAGTACATCTCACATCATAAAGACAATCCATTCCCCAACTGTATTGTCCACAGGTACAGGGGCTAAGATTAACAACCCAACTTCGTGGGGGAGGGGTGGAAAACACAATTCAGCCCACAGCAGGGATGGAATAAGAAGTAATGAAAAGCTCTAAGATGATGGGGGAGAGGATTAAAACTGATGGTGATCACACAACTCATTTTAAAAGCGATTTCACCGTGGGTTTGGGGAGGAGAAAGAGTGTTCTAAAGTTGTTTGTGGGAATGATTGTACAACTCTTCATGATAATGATTGAACTACTGAATTGTGTGATGTATGGACCAAGTGCCAATAAAACTGAGTGTGTGTGTGTGTGTGTGTGTGTGTGTGTGTGTGTGTGTGTGTGTGTGTAGTGAGCCACTAGGATCTCAGCCTGAGCAATTGAGTGAAAAATGGTCCCTCTTATTTGGGGGTGGGATGGGGGGGAACAGCTGGCAGAGAAATGGGCTTGGTGGAGAACATTAAGAAAGAATCCCAGTCTGGAGGTGCTGGGTCCCGGGTCTCAGGCAGTGAGTGATCCACAGCGAGCGAACTCACTATGTCTGCCGTCAAAGTGTCCATGTGGAAACTATCTGTGGGTGGTAGGGAGTTCAGCCCCACAAAGTTGCTGTTTGTGTGGGTTAAAAATGAAAAGATCAATGTTTGTACATAGCTGGGCCTAACTGAAGGATGAGCCGGTGAACCCTGAACCTTGGGTCACAGTTCATACTGGCCAGGTCGTGAGACTGAGCACGAGAGCCCGTGAGATGGAAGGAAAACCCCAGGGAGTCATGTCCCTGCAGTGGAAGGCAGAGCGTCGGACGCAGGAAGCAGTCAGCTGTATCAAGAACATTTTGATGATTCCAGTGTGGCGAGGATCAAGAAGTAGCTGTTGAGCTTGGCCCCCAGGAACCCCTCCATGACCTTCGCAGGGACAGTGTGGGTGTGGTGGGAGGTAGGCCTCTCTGGACTGAGTCCAAGGGACACTGGAGGGAAAGAGTTTTTGCAGTTGTTTGTTCTGAAGGCAGGAGCACAGAGGAAGCAGCTAGTAGCAGGAGGTGTGCGCAGACGTGACTGTCAAGATGGGAGGTGGCTGTAGTGTGGAACCCCCCCCACGAAACCAACCAGACAACAAACCCAAACCTGTTGCTGTTGATCCAACACAGGGCAGCATGGACATGTGTTACGAAGTTGGATGAAGCTCCACAGAGTTGACGTGGCCGGAGTGTTTATGCAGTTTGCCAACCCTTTCTTCTGTGGTGCTGCCAGGGGGTTCAGACAACTGACCTTGTTGCTAACTGCCATGGAGCGGGTGCTGACTCACAGAGACGCTATAGAGCAGAGTGAACCCACTGCCTGGCCCTTGGCCATCCTCAAAACCAGTGCTTCTCAACCTGTGGATCTCAACCCCTGTGGGGGTCAAATGACCCTTTCATGGGTCGCCCAATTCAAAACAGTAGCAAAATGACAGTGATGAAGTAAGAATGAAAATAATTTTATGGTTGGGGGGTCACCACCTCATGAGGAACTACAGTTGTGACATTAGGAAGGTTGAGAACCACTGCTCATAATTGTTATAGTTGACCCCCTCGTTGAAACCAATGTGTCAGCCCATCGCATTTTAGGGTCTGGTTTCTTTGGTTTTGGTTTTTGCTGACCCTCTCAAGCATGGGGTCTTTCTCCAGGGACTGGCCCTTCCTGGTGACATATCTGAAGTAGGCATTGTCTCCCCAGCCTTGCTTCTGAGGAGCACTCCGGCTGTACGTCTTCCAAGACAGAACTGTTCCTTCTTGATTCTGGCATCCTCTGGTCTATTCCGTGCCCTTCATCAGCACTGTACTTCGAAGGCATTATTGATTCTGGTAGTAGTTGAGGACAAGCCATCTGCATCACCCGGTGGCCTTACTGAACCCACAGGGAAGGGGAGAAGTTGTCGAGGAAGAAAGGGGGGCTTTACATGAGCAAAATTCTTGAGAGGATGAGAGGATAGGATTCTGTGGGCAGGTGGAGGGGGGCTGGCTTGTGTGGAGAGTTGGTAATGGCAGGAAGGAAGGCTGAATGTCCAGGTGCAGGTCCGGCTGGCCCGTGGACGTGGTGGTGGGAAAAAGAAGAGGCTGTTTTCTGGTGGCCTAAAAAGTCCTCAGTGATATAAAACATCAGGCCCTTAGCTAATAAGTGTGAGGACCAGGGGCGTGTTGCAGATTTGAAGAGAAGGGGGTGAAATAGGGATGTAGATGAGAAGAAGGTAAGGGTTCGGAGCTGTGGGACTTACTCGAGCAGTGCTGGAGCCCGCCGGCAAAGCAACAGGGGACTCGATTAAGGGGGTGAGGACTGAGAAAAGACAGACACAAAAAATCTGGGGTCAGGAGGACTGCGATTCAAGACTGCCGCCCCGAGTTTATTTTCCAGCAAGCTTTTATATACTGTTAAGTGGGAATGTACTATTGCTCAAAATAGCGCCCCCATCCTTGTTCTTGTTTGTCTGGCAAATATTTTTCCCAAGGCTAAGCACCTGATGTTTTCAATAACATTAAAGCACAAAAGTCAATCTGACCGTGAGAGAGCTGTGTCTGCACGTCCACATTTGAACGAACAGACCTCTGCTTTCAGAGCAGCTCCCAACAGAGCAGCCTTTCTTCAACATTTGATAAAAAAAAAACAACCTTCAAAATACACCAGCAAATCGTAAACCCCAAAGCCTCCCTGAAGTCACCTCCAAACCCCACAACGCTGTAGCGTAACTAGCACAGACGGTTAACAGATCACAGCAACTGGGAAGTTAGATGGGAAGCTTGGGGGCGGGGCGGCCAGGGGGGTCTGTGTTCATGGGGGAGAAACCACTCACAAAAGGAACATGAGGATGGCCGCACAACTTGAAGAAGGCACGTGACCAGCATCGCTGCTGGTGCACGTGGTCCCCTCTGCCCGAGAGGGCCGCCGTGAGTGACTGCGAGGCGGAATGGGCCTGAGGGCTGGTGTTTTGCGTGTGACTGTTTAACCGTGAAGAATTAGCTTGTTCTGCTGCTTTGCTCCTGCAGATATTCAACTGTCGCCTGGTCGACCTGGACTTGGCTTTGGGCTACTGCACCCTCCTGCCCCAGAAAGAAGTGTTTGAACACCTCTGGAAGCTCATAGACAACGCATGGCAGAATTACGACAAAATTTTGGTATGACTGAAAGAAGCACGCTTCGGCTCTTGAACACAAAATAGGAAAGATGTAGGGCAAGAAATGCAGTCGGCTTCACTAGTTAGGTTTAAGGATCAGAAGAAAAAGGCTTTGCTAACTCCCATGAGTTCTACCAGCTTTTCCTGATTAGCTACATTGTGGTGACTGTGCCATGCCGTAAGCTCGGCTCATACCAAAGAATGGCTGAGGGGTTGTGGTTTTCAAAATCTGCACATGGCTACACCACCTGCTCTATGTACTCATGTTTGAAATCCCAGGCCCACGAGCTGAGTTTTTGTTTTGTTTTTTTCCTATAGGACAAGTTCAAAGGATTCTGTAGGAAAGGCTTCTTTTGAGCGTGGTCCCTAAAAAATTTTGGCTTTAGTGAGAGTTTGGCCTGTAGGATAATTAAAACCTGGGCTGCTTCTAATGAAGGAGAGCCAGGTTATCCTTATGTTATCTTATGAAAAGCTGACTTACCGGAATGTTCTATAAGAAGGAATGAGTGTGCAGGAAGCAAAGGAGCCCATGCTTCTCTCACAAAGAAAGGTGGCTGTTCGGTTGTTGGTCTCACCCAAGAGGTCCGTTGGAACGCACACTCCTCCCAGGTGCATTTGTTTCCATGTTTTCAGGCGATAGCTCAGGTGGGTTCGGAGCTGGCCAGACTCTACCAGCAAAGAGAAATGGAACTGAAGTTCTGTGAGCTCTGTACCGATGCCCAGTGGGGTGTCCGCCTCAGCAGGCTTGGGGTGAGTATTTTTGGTGCTGCTGTGAGCTTTCACCTAGTTGGGAGGTTTAACACAGAGATCTCATTCTCTATAACATTGATGTACTCACTGACGTTGGCTGTATGAACAGACACCTGGTGCTTTCACATAAATAAGGACCTGCCTCATTCCCCTGCCCTTTGTTTTTAAAGTGGTGAAAGGAGACTTGATATAAATACTTAGAACACTTTTATTCTTTTTTTTAATTAGTCATTTTATAGGGAGCTCTTACAAATCTTATAACAATCCATAATTTACTTTCATTAAGTATACTTGTACATATGTTGCCATCAACATTTCCGAAACATGTTCTTTCCACTTGAGCCCTTGGTATCAGCTCCTCTTTTTTCTCCTCCCTCCTCCACCCTTCCTCCCTCGTGAATCTTTGATCAATTATATATTATTATTGTTGTCTCATCATGTCTTACACTGTCCATTGTCTCCCTTCACCCACATTTCTGTTATTTGTTCCCCTGGAGGGTGGGCTACATAGCTAAAAATTTGATTTAAAAAAAAATCATTTTATTGAGGGCTCGTACAACTCTTATCACAATCCATATATCCATCCATTGTAAGACTTGATATTTTTATCTGCTTGACTTTCTCTCTCTCTCTCTCTCTCTCTCACACACACACACACACACACACACACACACACACACAGTTGTTAGTTGCAGCTGAGTTGATGCCAGCTTACAGCAACCCCAGGTTCAACAGAAGCGTTGCCCAACATAGCCCATGTGGAAGAAGCACACCAGCCTGTGTGATCACAAGGTGTGGATAGGATTAGGTATCAAGCATCAAAGACCAAGAGCAAAAAATCGTATTATTGTGAATAAGGGGGAGTGCAGAGTGGAGACCTAAAGCCCATTTGTAGCCAACTGGACATCCCCTTACAGAAGGGACGTGAGGAGGAGACCAGCCAGTTAGGGTGCAGTATAGCAATGATGAAACATACAACTTTCCTCTAGTTCCTAAAGGCTTCCTCCCCGCCCCTTCCTCCCCCTCCAATATCATGATCCCGGTTCTACCTTACAAATCTGGCTAGACCAGAGCATGTACATGGATACAGACAAGAGCTGGAAACACAGGGAGTCCCGGACAGATAACCCCTCAGGACCAATATTAAGAGTAGCCATACCAGGAGGGGAAGACGAAGGTGAGGGTAGGTAGGGGGAACGATCACAATGATCTACCTATAATCCCCTCCCAGGGGGATGGACAACAAAAAAGTGGGTGAAGGGAGACATTTGTCGGCGTAAGACATGAAAAAAAAAAAATCTATAAATTATCAAGGGTTCATGAGGGAGAGAGGGAGGGAAAAGATGAGCTGATACCAAGGGCTCAAGTAGAAAGAAAATGTTTTGAGAATGATGATAACAAATGTACAAATGTGCTTCACACAATGGATAGATGCATGGATTGTGATAAGCGTTAAATGAGCCCCCAGTAAAATGATTTAAAAAAAAGAAAGGTTGCCCATTTCTATATGTATGATTTATGGGGCCCTTGAGCCCACTGTGGCTGGTCACTGTGTCCTTGGAATGCTTTCCGACTCAGAGTCCTCGTCTTCCGGCATGATACCAGACAGTGTCCTGTTGTGAGCCACAAGGTCGTCATCAGCAAATCACCTAATTATTAGACATAGATCAGCAGGCCTTTCTCCTAGTCTTAATTGAGACACTCTACCTAAAATTGTTTGAGTGAGTTGTTGCTGATTCGTTTTGTTTTTTTTGCCCACCGTGGGTTCCCCTGCTGGTATTTGAAATTCTGGCAGCAAGGTTTCTAGCATCACGGCAACACCCAGGTTACCATAGTGTGACATACTGACTGGCGGCTGGTAGGTATGTGTGTGAATGCATGCAGACTATGGATTGACGTTTGTGCTAGTGCAGGCCTGGCCTTTACCCTCGCTCTTTTGTTTTCTGCTGCTGTTACTTGCTTAAAGAAAAGATCGAAACATTTAGGCCAAGTATGCTAAGCTTTAAAACATCCTATTATGAAAAAGGAAGTGCCTCTTGAAAAAAATACACACCACACACACACAAAACCCCAACCCCTCTGTTTTGTTCTATTATCTCTGATGATAAATGTAAAGGTCGACTTCTCAGGAATGTGACTGTGGAGAAAGTGTATGTTTTAGAGCTCAATTCCTCTGTGAGAACAACTGGGTACCCACTCTCACTACCAGGATTCACAGGAGACAGAGGCAAGAGCTAAGGGTGACTCAGAGTTTTGGACTCAGAGCTGAGCGTTTCCTAAATCTCAGAATGGCAATCAAGTTGGATAGGGTGTTAGGATTAAGATGGGTTATAGGAAGAAAGACCTTTTGTGGCCTGGTGACTTACATACTGGGTTGCTAACTGCAAAATCAGCAGTTCAATACCACCAGCCACTCCAGGCTTTCTAGTCCTGCAAAGAGTTACAGTCTCGGAACTCACAGGGGAAGTTCTACCCTGTCCTACAGGGTCACTGTGATTCAGAATTGACTCGATGGGAGGGAGTTTGTTTTTGTCCATTGTAGAAAAATGTCGCTTCTGTGTATGTGTATGTAAAGGCTAGTACAGGTTGAATAATGCAGTGGTTAAAGGCATGACACCCCACACACACCGCCCCCCTCCCCCCCACGCCGCCACATACATACACAGTTTCAAACTTACAACTTTTTGACTCTCTAAAAACTTAACTTTTAGTAGCCTGTTGCCAGCCCAAACCTTACCAATACCAGTTTTGATAAACACATATTTCCTGGGCTGCATGCTTCGCGTACTTATGGCATGCACATGAAATCTGTTTTCTTTTTTCACTTCTAAAAATTTTATTTTTCTTCTTCAAATTATTTATTTACTTTTAAGCTGCATTTTTGATATGAGATGGGAAGGTATTTCACAGAAAGTGCCAAGTTTTCACAGCTGCTGCGGGGGGGCTGTGGTGACAGGTTTCCTTTTCTTAGCCAGGTCCTGAGCTGGAGCCCGGCCCCGCAGTGCAGGTCAAGCAGTTCACCTTCCCCAGGCAGTGTCAGGATTGCCCTCTGCTTCTCAGGAGCTCTCCCGGCATCACCAGAGACACCCTATGGGTCTCGTGGCGTTATTCAGGGCTTACACAGCCACACCAACCAACCCTGAGAGATCACTTACCGACATATGTAATTGACTGGAGAGGCAAATTGCTCACAGGGAGATGCTTAGCTTCATTCAGTGTGTTTTTAAAAAAAGGGAAAAAATCCATGTGTAAGTGGGCCCGGGCACCTCCCACCAGCGTTGTGCAGTAAGTAAAAGACAAGTCACAGTGGCATGTCTGTAGACATTCGGGTTGAACAGGTGATGTGTAGGCCTTTTAAATGATGTGTTTACTCTTGCTCTTTCTCTCACTAGATTTCTTTTCAGCCAGCTTTCAGGCAGCATTTTCTCACCAAGAAAGACCTCATTAAAGCTCTGGTGGAAAACATGGATATGGACACGAGCCTCCTTCTGGAATACTGCAGGTAGTGCTTGGCACGGCAGAGGTGCTCCCTTATTGCTAGCTTCACAAATCCGTCGTCCTCACAGCAAGAATATCGACATGCCGGCAATTATGGTGTGCGGCCCTTAGGCTTCGGAAGCCTCTTCTTTGGCTCCCCCCAAGCTGAGTGAATCCCTAACCCTAGTCATGCTCTGCTCACGGCCTCTCTGATTCACTGTGTAAGTATTTCCCAGATGTCCCTGAGTATACGCACCACCTGACCTACTGGATTCAAAATGCAGATTCCCAGGCCTCTCCCTGGCAATTTGCTTTCCCGGCCCTGAGAATATCAGAGGTCAGCTGTAAGGCGGTGTGCACTTCATGCTCGTTTTTAAGCCACAAGTGGCTGCTGCAGTGCACCTCAGGCTGCCGTGGTTGGCTTTTGTAGAAAGTCCTGAAAGTGGCATCCCTCTACCACAGGGCACAAATACTTATGATCTTATCACCAATTTCCTCCTGGTACAAGGGGGCTTGGAAGCATTCATGGGAAAGATGGAATGGAGAGGTAGAGGAAGAACTTCTCAAAGCTCCCTCATGGTGTGCCAGGTTTAAGTGCTTATCAAGGGTTTCAGAAGGTGTTAGGTAGCCTTACTTTAGTTTAGAAGGCGATAGCCAGCCCTTGTAACAGGCAAGCTGTGAAAGTGGACAAGGGGACGCTGAGTTTCAGGGCTGGGAGGACGCGCCTAGGTTTTCGGAGGGAGGGGTTAAGAGAGGCATGCTCGCCTGTGGGGAGCTATGCCTGAGGGGCCGTTTCCTGTAGGACCTTCCAGTTGAACTGCGACGCCGCTCTCCAGCTGTTCATCGAGACGCTGCTGCACCAAACCAGCGTCAGCCAGGGCCAGGGGGACGCGCCTGCGGAGTTGACAGAGCAGCGGCACCCCAAAATCCTAGCCAAAGCCATCGAGATGGTCCCTTTACTGACGAGCATGAAAGATCTGGTCATCAGCCTTAGTGGGATCCTGCACAAGGTGAGTACATGCCCTCCCACTCTGCCCACCAGGCCTGAGCGCACCGTTCCATGGCAGTCCTTTTTGGAAGGGTCTAGCCTCCCTTAAGGTGATTGGCAAAGTTCAATGGAGTCTCCCCCGTAACTGCAAACTCGACGATTGTGTAAAAGCAATGGACGGGGGTGCCAAGCAGCACCACTGTGTCATCAAGCCGATTCTGACTCATCGCGACACTAGGACGGCATGGAGCTGCCCGTGTGGGTTTCCGAGTCTCATCATTCCAGGAACAGACAGCCTTACCCTTTTGCGGAATGGATGGTGGGTTCAAACTGCGGACCTTGGAGGAGAAAGGGGCCAACATTTAGACAGTTAAACTTTCAAAAGCCCTACCTTGAAACGGCATGAGTCAATTTCTGTGATTTTGTTTTGTTTTGCTTGCGGCATACTTGCTTGTTTTTGCCTTTCTTCTAAAGCAGTAAGAATGAAAGGCACACTCAGCATGTGCTAACTCACTGAAAGCCTCAGACCTAGATTTTTTAGAAATGTTCATTTTGAGTCGTTATTTTTTTATTTTTCTGTATTTTTGATGCGTCAATGTTCCTGCCTCACTCACCACCCTGTAATGCCACTCCCCAGAGAGGAATGTCAGTCCCAGACTCAGGGAGCTACTGCTCTGTGGTTCTCGGCACACGTCAATGCACACGCGCCCACGTCCTTTCTACATATGCACATTTATCTCGCTCCGTGCACGAAGTCTACTGCGTATCACTTTCTCTTTAAATTTTAGAGTGAGCATCTTTGTACATACATTCTGACACTCTGGTCTATTTTTGCTGTTGTTTTCTGTATGAGAACTTGTGAGACGCTAGTTTTTAGAGAAAGGATCGCTTGGTTGATGACGTGAGGGTGGGCAGACGATCAGTCGGCTGTTTGTCTTTCGTGGTTAGTACATGCAGCTCTTCTTCATGCTCACCGACCTGTGACAGTCCTCTGTGAGGATCAGCTACTCATCCAGCTTCTTAATGAAAGATGATCATCACTAGTTTTTACATGTCACAAACGGTTGCTGCACATGAGATTGTAAAACTGTAAGAAGCACCTTGGCTTTATCTTTTGCTGGTCAGTCAGCAGTAGGTCACGTCAATGGGCTCCAAATCCCGAGGTCCTACAGGCTCTCTGCCCACTTTGTCCAGTTGGTCCATGTAAGTCTACATGGCTTCAACGGGCAAAGGTAGGGACACGTGGGCAGACGTAAAGAACAAAGGCATCACGCCCTTTCCTCCTTGTGACCTCATATAAATGCCACCCAACTGATTGTTGTATGAGGGCCTTGGCTTCAAAAGCTCATGGAAAAAGGAAACTAGAAGAAAATGGAATTTCCCCAAGAGCTTTGGAAAGCCCCTTCCTCATATAACACATGGTTAGAGGGGAGAGGAAAACCGCTCAGGATTGTTTGCTTAGGAGCCCATAGTTTGAGCTGTCCCGTTCTCAAGGAAAGGCCAGTTCCCTCCTTTGGTTACTTTCCCATTGTTCATGGTAGAAATGGAATAAGAATGATATAACATGATTAAGTGTTGGTTGTGGTTATTTTCAGGTGTACACCCGGAGAAGGTGGCTCCATGGCTCCATGGTTATGTACTTAGCTGCTAACCCAGAGGTGGTCAGCTCACACCCACCCGTAGCCCCTCAGGAGGAAAGGCCTGGCAATCCACTCCCATAAAGAGCACCAGGAGGCACGCCGGCACAGCCCTTTCCTCTCCTGTAGGGTAGCTGCGAGACAGGAGCTGCTGGGCAGGGTAGCCAGTGCCCTGAGAGCATCTCTGCCTGTGAAAGTAACGTTGATACGCTCTGAGGAGTGGTTCAACACATCTGTTTATCCTGGTAGAGCCTGTTGTAGAAGGGAGACTATTTCCGTTCCATTTAGAAAGATAAGTGAACGTACCATCACAGGGCATGGAGACCATACGTGTGTGATCTGCACCAAGGAACGTAACTGAATTAAACCCCCCACAAGCGTGGAAGTGCCTTCCCGAGTCTTGAAATATGTTTTTCCTGTGCAGTTGGATCCCTACGACTATGAAATGATTGACGTTGTCCTGAAAGTCATAGAAAGAGCCGACGAGAAGATAACCAACATCAATATTAACCAGGTAAGTGAGCCCTCTCTGCTCCTAGTTGGATCGTAAGCGTCCCAGTTATCCCATGCCTTTCAGTCAACAGCCTGTGAGCTCCCTTCAAGACAGCACACCTTATTGTCGATCCCTCTTCTTCGAAAATGATGAACATTTAAGATAAAACATGTCCTGTCGCCTATGGGACTCATGGATGTATTGGAGTGGTCCAGATTTGTATGACATCACCAAAGGGCGGATGCGGAGGAATTAAGGCAGGACGATGAAGTCTGTGGGAAAATCCCATTGTCTCTTCATTTCCCAGGGACTTTCTGAAGCCCCTCGTATGCTGACAGGCTGGTCCAGGCTCACTCGGTCTTATCCTAGTACACTCAGTCATTTCTCAGTCACAGTAGCTGTGTGTCCTTTCCTTGTGTTTTAAAAGTTGAAGGAAAATGGGTGAAGTGTGCACAATTTGACCAAGGCTGCTGACGACACTAAGAGGTACACAAGAAAGACAGGCTTTATGGTATATTATGACCCATAGAATGCTGAAACAATAGCAGTAACAGCCAAAAATATCCATGTATGAAAGTATATGTATGTGTATACATACACATGCATTGCTGTATTCTTAGGCATATGTGTGTGTATACATATATTTACGTGTGCAGCATATGTATTTTAAATTTTTATAGAAAAACCCCATTGTCTTTTAACTCCAATTTTCCATGAACTTTTTATATCATGGAGCCCCTACACAGCCAAACACTTCACAGGATTGGCTTCATGAGTTTGCAGCCTTAGGACCGGAGTCGCATGGGATGACTCAGTCAGTTGGTACACCATAGCCCATTAAGTTTATGTTCTACATACATCTTTGCTTAATAACCAGTATTTGAGGTCTTAACATAAGACTTAAAAGTGTCTCATCAGCCATCTACGATAGAACTCTTGGTCTCTACTCATGTGGAGTCAAAGGGAAAAAAGGAAGCTACTTAAATACGGAGACGTTAGTCAGCATGACGAGTCACGTACATGGGACGCAGCCTTGTTTATCCTGAGGCCCGAGTATTTGGCGCCAGCTACCATTACTGTCTAGTCTGACAAGAGACCCAATAGATGGTCTCAGATAGAATGGGGAATAATTGTGGAGCAAAACCCAAAATCCTTGTAACAAAAGGCCCGCATTACTAGATAGTAGAAGCTCGGGGGACCCCTGAGACCCAGAGATTTTCTTTGAACTTTGAGCAGAAGCCTCCCAAGAAGGTTACCTTTGTAGCAAAGAAACAGAATTGCTCATAAATCATATCACCCATGAGTACTGTGCTCTTATAAACAAAAAACAAAAATTTTTAAAAAATCAACTATTTGAGGTTAAATGGTCAACATTTATTCTGAAACAGAGGTGAGAAAGGCAGGGATTATGGGTGGGGAAGCTAGATTAATGAAAAGCAAGCAATCAGATTGGAAATAATGAAACTGTTGATAGCATGTCGAAAATGTAACCAGTAGCACTGAACAATATGTATAATAATTACTAGGTGTGAGCCTAACCTACTGATAAGCTTTTACCTAGAAGACAAAATATTTAAGGGAAAAAAAACTATTAGAAGACAATCGTTTGATTTAAAAGGTTAGACAAGGCCCAAAACAGAAACACCAGAGAGTGAAGGGCTCTAAAGAGTTCATTTTCGATCACCTGCCTACATGTTTAAAATGAAATCAGGTCTTCTTGAGGTAGATCTGAAACATTATGAAGCAAGCATGGAAATCCACCAGATTCTAAACCATCCAACCAATGATGGGGCCCACAGGCAGCCTGCTCCCCCTCTGACTCCTTTCATGATTGGGTAAACGGCAGCCCCGTAGATGGACATTCGAAGGGGAACTTCAAAAGGTTCTGGTCCTTTTGATGAAGAAACAGACTGTCTCGGGAATGGCAGGCCACCTGGGATGGTAAAGAGCTGGGCTGTTTTTGGAACAGTCATGGCGCAGCGCATGAATCTCCCAGGGGAACACTTGTTATTTCAACACAGGCATTGAGTCTTCTGAAGCATTTGACATCTTACCGAAGAATTTCGCCTCCGGTGGACCTCGAGTATCAGTATATGTTGGAGCATGTGATCACACTGCCACCAGCCGCCCAGAACAGACTGCCTTTCCACTTGATATTCTTTGGCACAGCACAGAACTTTTGGAAAATTCTCTGTACGTTCATTAGCTTCTTTTTTAAAAATCATTTTATTGGGGGTTCATACAGTTCTTTCTTATCACAATACATGCATACATACATATATTGTGTCAAGCACATTTGTACGTTTGTTGCCATCATCATTTTCAAAACATTTTCTTTCTACTTCACCCCTTGGTATCTGCTCATTTTTTTACCCTTCCTCCCTCTCTCACGCCTGATAATTTATAAATTATTATTTTTTCATGTCTTACACTGACCAATGTCTCCCTTCACCCACTTTTCTGTTGTTCATCACCCAGGGAGGGAGTTATATGTAGATCATTATGATCGGTTCCCCTGTTCTACCCCCCCACCCCTACCCCCACCCCCACCCCCACCCCGCTTCCCCTTACCCTCCTGGTATTGCTACTCTCATTATTGGTCCTGAGGGGATACATTCATTAACTTCTTAATGTGTTTTATTGAAGAACCATCTTTTTGGTCCATAAGCAAAGCTTGTTCTCCTTGTTTCCTTTTTTAGCTACGGAACTCAGTGAGGAGTCCTTCCCAACCTTGCTCCTAATTTCTAAATTGATGAAGGTAACTAATATTGGGCTAGATCATGATACGACTTATCTTTATCTCATGATTATTTCTGATCTTGTGTAGAGCATCTGCCTGCTGCTTTTATGTAAGGCCTGTAACGGTGACTACATATCCTTTTCCTTCTCTTTCAAGTTCTCCTTGGACACGCTGTATGTATCGACGGCCAAACACGTTTTTGAGAAAAAGCTGAAGCCAAAGCTTCTGAAGTTATCACAAGCCAAATTCTCAACTCTGATGACCAAGGAGGTAGCCAAGGTCACACAAACCATCGAGTCCTACTTGTTGTCTATAGTTAACCCCGAGTGGGCTGTCGCTATAGCCATCAGTATTGCCCAGGACATTCCAGAAGGTATGGGTCCTTTCTGTAATGGCCTCCAAATGGGCAGTGATTTTGGTTTATACTTCATGATGAACAGTGTACTGGGGTTTCTGGGTGATGCAAGCGGTTAAGCTCTCAGCTGCTTGCCAAAAGGCTGCCCAGAGACTCATCGGAAGGAAGGCCTTGTGAGCTGCTTCCAGAATCCATCACAGGCCCCAAGGGGCCCAGTTCTACTCTTGACACAAGTGGGGTCCATGAGTCAGAATCACCTGGCTTCCACACTTGATCTGAGAAGCAATACCAGCGGGCTTCTATATATTTCAGGAGGAGCAGTCCAACAGTATGGGATTGTATTTGCCCTCTCCGTTCACTTAGGACGTAACTTAGGAATGTTAACCAGGCTCAAGTGAAATAGCCAGGACTCCTTCATCCATGCCAAAGAGCAGGCTATTGGTGAGAGTACAAATGGATAGATAGTTCCTAATACCCATTCATGGTACTATGAATAATGAATCCTTAGATATTCTCATGTCATCGAACAAGCACCCAAATCTGTGCATTTGTTGCTTCAATTTTTTTTTTCTTATAACAAAAGTTAAAAACAACTACCTTATTTTCTGATGAATAATGTGAACAAGTAGTATAACAGTATCATGTCTGGGGTAAAATGCATACACACAACTGAAACCACAGTATTACCAGTTCATATTCCCTAGGATGGCTGTGATTTTTAAAAGAAAATGACACAGATAATAAAAAGTGTTGGTGAAGATATGAAGAAATTAGAACCTTGTCCATTGTGGATGACCAGCCACTCCACAATGGTGTAGTTGTTGTAAAATTGTTCACCAAACCATTTATTGTCGTTAGGTGCTGTCACATTGATTGCGACCCACAGCGCCCCTATGAACAACAGAAGGAAACATCGCACTGTCGTGGGCCATCCTGCCAGTTTGGCGGCTCCTCACCAAGCTAGATAGAGCGCTATCATATGACCCAGCACTTCTCCTCCCAGCTGTATGCCCAGTAGAGCTGAGGGAAAGGACTCGGATATCAGATACTTGTCCATTCAGCATTCACAGGAGCCCAAAGGTAGAAGCAACCCAAGTGTCCATCGTCTATAGGGCTTTCAGTCAGTTTGAGATGGTTTGGTCATGGCTGGCGGGAGCAAGCAGCCAAATCATCTGCATATCATATTTTGACACAAGTAGGAAACAGGTGGCAATGTCCCACTCCAAGATGACAGCCACCCACTCTGCTCTCAGGGGAGAGCAACACGTTCAAGGTGGTGCGCTTGGCCGCCATTTTCAGTGAAGCACCACTGCCTTTCTTCCTATTGAAGTCTAAATCCAGCTCTGCAGCACCTGCACTGCCTTTCTCTCTGTGGCCCATGCTCAACTGGTTTTACAGGTCTGACCATACATTATGAATCAGCTGCAAAAGATCTCTAAAATAATGGTTCTCAACCTCCCTCATGCTGTGACCCTTTCATACATTACCTCATGTGGTGACCCACCCAACCATAAAATTATCTCTATTGCTACTTCAT